CATAGAAAGGAAAATAAAATTTTTAATAGTGTATGTGTCTTCGATCCGACCTTTGTCCCTCTGTTTTATGACGAATCAAAGAAGTCGTTATCTTGACGTCTAATCAAATGTCTTATTCTTATTATTCATTCTCAATCCAGGAGATCGGATCGACGGGCAGAACACTTTAGGGATCAGTTAACTGGCCTTCAGCCACACTTCGGTTTCCCACGATCTCCACTCAACCTGAATGGCAAGTTGATGTAAATCCTGCAACTTTTTACAAAGTTGAAAAAGCCATAGGAAATCTGAAGCGAGGGGGAGCAGCAGGCCCTGATAGGTTTACCTTCGAGATTTTTAAGGATGGCGGTTCAGTCTTAGCAGCGAGATTGACTGAGATCTTAGGTAGGATCTGGGAACTGGACGCAATCCCATCTGACTGATCTCAATCACTGATTGTGTCAGTCTATAATAAAGAACAAAAGTCATCCTGTGACAACCACAGAGGAATCAGTTTGACCAATATAGTGTCTAAAATATTAGCTTCAATAATACTTCAACGTCTAACTGTTATATCCGAGTGAAGATTAAATTACAGGTAACTTCCGAGGACTATTCATGGACTAATATTCTATAATTATTCTTATTGTATAACTACTCAACAATTACACTATGTATATTTATATTCCTTTTATGATAAGCTTTATTTTGACCTATAGCTTATTATTGTACGATTTACGGTTCTTAAGTTATGTTCAGTTTATTAACTACTGCCTCCCTCATTCACAGCCACTTTTTGGGCTTATTTGTGTACAAATATTATTTCCTATTTTATGGTACGTTGCGGTCTGTCTGGTTGATATATAAACTGAGTATGTTTGAAATAAACGATCTGGTCTGATCTGCTCTGATTCGAAACTGGTATTGTGTTCTGAACTCAAGTGGAAGGGCTCGTAGGACATAGGACCAATAAGGACGCTAAACTGCCCACACCGGTTGAACGTCATTGGTTGGCCTAGTGTGAAGATTCGTATAAGTCGTATTCGGATTGGTAGATAAATCGCGTGATAAGGAAGTCAGACATCCAAGGTCATAACACTAACCAATGCTCGTGAATAGCAGATTAGAGAAAACCAGGCCGGTTTTCGATCTGGACGTGGTTGTATAGATCAGATATTCACACTACGTCAGGTCCTAGAACATAGACACACATTCAGACATCCCACAATAGTGGTATTTCTCGACCTTAAGGCGGCATTCGATCCTGAGGTTCTATGGTAATGTTTGTTTCTGATCCTTTATATAATAGATCAAGTTTCAACAATTCATCTTTAACAAAGGGCGGCCCAATTGAATATCTGGGGTGACTGTCCGTACCATCTAGATATTTCAACAAGTTATATGTTTCCTTATTTGTTCTGACATATCATTATGTCAATTAATTGCATAACCTATTCAAGTGTGTTTGTGAAAAGTTTACGACCTTTCGCTGTACAAATTACCAAAAAGTACAATCAGAGACATTGTGGTGGATGTCAATATGCATCGAAAAGAATGTACATTATTCAAATTTCTATTCCTGAACTGCTAACATTTAACTGGCGATCACCCAATATTTACCATCTGGATCGACCAAGTAATAGGAAACGGAAACTTGTTGAAACATTTTGTGCTGAGAATTCTATATTGTACCAAAATTATAATATCGAATAAAACCACTAATAGTAATAATAATAATAACAGTAGTAAGAATAATAATGGTCATAATAGTAGTAGTAGTGTGGTGTGTGCCACTTATATTGTCATAAGTAGTATATAACAATAGTCAGGATTAGAATATCTGGCAGAAGAAGGTGGAGAAGGAAAGAACAGAAACAGGAAACGATTGATATGAAAATGCTAAAAGAATGAAGTCTGAGATGACTGACTGATAAATGTGAAAGGAACAGTCAAGTTTAAGACAATTGATTGATATTTTTCAGTTAAGTACTCACTGTATAGTTCTCAGATTTTACTAAGATGTGCTGTAGTTTTGTGTCCAAATGCATTCGATCATCAGTATAGGGTTGTGGAGATTATTAGGTTTTTGATTGAGATCATGGTCCGATTGATGTTAGAGCACCATTGAAAACCTGGAAGCACTGGATGGCCGTTTCGTCCTATTGTGAGACTCCTCAGCAGTGTGCAATCGCGATCCTACCCACGGGATTCGGACCCAGAATCTTCGGTGTCGCGCGCGAATACTTAACCTCTAGACCACTGAGTCGGCATCCGACGGTGTTATTGTCTAACCTAAACTAATCCACACACTTGCGAGACCATCTTCTATAGTAATGAGGTAGATACCTGTCTCTACCCGACATAGATTAGCTCCATTGGTCACAGCTCCTTACTAGAACTCCGAGAATTCCCTCACGAAGTTAGTCCCTAGTGAGCACATGATTATTATCATTATAGGGTTGTAAAGATTATCAAGTTTTTGACTGAGATCATTCACCGATTGACGAAAAGGCCATCCAGTGCTTCCATGTTTTAAATGGTGGTCTAACATCAATCGTTTCATAATCTCAGTCAAAAACATCCGACTGTCCCCACTTGTGTTTCCGTCCACTACAGTAGTAATAATGATAATAATAACAATATTAATAATAGCAGTAATACTGTAGTGAACAAGAACAAGAACAGGAAAAACGAATGTATTTGACACGAAATTACCGAGCATCTCAATAAAATATCAATCCATCATATCAAACTTGACTGTTCCTGTTGCAAACATCAATCCATTGTCTCAGATTTCATTGTTCATTCATTTTCATACCAATTGCATTTTGTTCCCGTTCTTTCCTTACCGACCTTCTGCTGAAATACATTCTATGCCTGACCACCATCATATACTACTTATATGGATATAAGTAGCCCACACCACACCACAATACTAATAATAGTAATAGTAATCATACTAACTATAACGGTACATTGTACAAAATGAATTCGTTCCAAGTTAAATAACATGATAATAACAATCAATGTAAATATGAACTAACATTTATTTATTCATTCATTCTTTTGTTTAATTATCCATATATATATAAATATCATATTTCAATGTACTCAATATGAAATTACTTTACAAATATTATTCAATAATTAACCCTATAAATACCTTAGTAATTCATCTCTTAGATATTACCTCATTATGTTGACTAAATTCATATTGATTTTTGTATCTGTATTCATAGGGATTGTGACATTAGACAGTTGTCAAGGTAAGTCAAAACACTATTGATACATTGAAAAATTTTTCTATTGACAAACATTATACTTTATCAATTAGGGAACAAATAAGATGATGAGATCAGAATTAAACATTCATAATGATTATGACTTATTAGATAGACTTAAAATACATAATATAATGATGTACTGACATTGTGATGTGTGTTACTTATATCCATATAAGTAGTATATGATAGTGGTCAGGCATAGAAGATATTTCAGTAGAAGGTCGGTAAGGAAAGAACGGGAACGGAAAGCAATTAATATAAAAACGCGGGAAGAATGAAATCAGAGACGATGGATTGATATTTTGCAAATTAACTATTTACTATATGGTTCTCAGATTTTAGTGAGATGCTCTGTAATTTCGTGTTAGATACATTCGATTTTCCCCACTCCTGCTCTTCTTCATTACAGCGCAACTAGGTATCATTTCAATGTCTATAAAGTTCTTAGTACTATATAGGTTGAAGTTTATTAATAATATTCCTACTGTTATAGAATGGTTATAAAATTATTCGTTTTGTTATCCATCTATTTGTTTTGAATTCAAACAGATAAGTAGTATAAATAAGTATATTTGTAATATCCAAATAAGTAGAAAAATTAGATTTTCTGACGTTTCGTAACCTATTTTGAGTCACCTCTTCAGAGTAAATAATTAACCGAATCAAAATTAATTCAAGTACAATGGAACAGTACAAGAATATTAAGTGCGATCAATAAAAAAACCAGGTCTGAACAAGTCAGTATCATGTCATTTCACTCAAAGTGATTCATAAGTGACATGTATGTAAATTTGTGTGTATGTATGTCTGCATTGTTAAGGATGAAAAATGTGTGACCCTGATAGTGAGAAAGGATAGAGTTTAATTTGTAAGATAATAGTGTGAATTGTGAATAATATCAGACTAGCTGGTTAGTGGTTGGAGGTAGTTGACAAGAGATCCTGAACCCGGGTTTTGTGCTGCTTTGCACTCGTCAACAAGGTGTACCTGTAATCTTGAGGGAACTGGTGCTCCCTGGCGGATCCGGTCCCGTGTCACCCAGCTTCACAGTCAGAGACGTTACCACTGAGCCATCCGAGCCGCGACCGACCTCCTGTAGGACCGAGATGTAATCACAATTGGTTGATCACTGGGTGGTGACCAATGTCATGTGTGTCAAGTTCTTAATAATGCAGATCGAATGCTACCGACCATGTTGCAATGTGGCCATCAGTCTTGGTGACTCGACACTGCGGGCACTATTGTGAAATTAGATGGTGGTTGGAGGTAGTCGATAGGACTAGCTGGTTAGGATAGATAGTCCAAGTAGGATGTATGGTAAGGCCTTCTTTTCTATTGAGAGAAGTAGGATTAAGTATTATATAGAACGCTACATCTAATCTCTTTTCTTTGTAATTGTAAGAAAACCTTTTGCAATATTTTGATATTTTTGAAATCGATTTGGTGGTCGTTGAAAATAGTATATTTAGCTCCAAAATAACAAACACACTTCAAAGCTTAGAACATAGTTAATGAGAGATTAGGGATTTACGTGTGAGACCAATGATCCTGAACTCTATTCCGGGTTGTATGGTCGTGGATGAATAATTCTGAGGATGCCCATACAATGTTAAGACAGTTGTCTGGTGTTTACAATTTTTCAGCAGTTAATTAACTTAGATAATCATGTGATTTTAATGAAATTTAATAGTTACGACAATTCAGTAGACCATACCATGAAATTCACTCAGAATTTGACTATCTGTCTTATAAATTAGTGAGTTACTTTCAACTTGATTGTTTCCATCATTTGAATATATTTTTATGGACTCACTTGGTATTGTTTACTTGAATCTTCCCATTGATGTTTAAAAACTGCAATTGATCAGTTTCTTATTGGCATATGTGTATACTGTGCTTGTTGCTTGCAGTGGAATCCAGGACGCAAGTTCCATAGTGAACATCAACTCGACTGACGAGTCCCGAATAGGAAACAACGCGTGTTCTGAATTCCATGGCTAGCCACCAACCATCTTTGCTTATAATGCTTGTGAATTGAGGCAATATTGAGACAATCCTTACAGGATGTACATATGCTAGTAAGAAACTGATCAATTACGGTTCTAAACATCCATGGGAAGATTCAAACAACCAATACAAAATGAATTTAAACTTCACTCCATTGCATAAGCTAGTGGCTATCAGGACTGAGTAGCTAAGTGGATAACGAGATGGCATTTGAAGCGAATGGTAATGGTTTCGAGTCCCAGAGTGAACGTCAATTCTGGACGAAACGCGTGTCGTAAATTATATGAAAATTTGCCAGCGTATTAACTTCTTCTTATTGACAACTATTTTGTTTTTCACATGATATTGAAATACATTTATAATTTACATACGTTTTTATGTGTAGGTCAGAGAGATGCACCGAGGTATTTCCAGTGAGTAGAATGTTTGGGTTCTATTTATTTAAATGATTTATTGAAATTTCTTCTGTAGATAATTGTTATTATACGCTAACATTTACCTATTTCATCAAATAGGTGTCTTGATTAAAGCTTTTTCTTTTGTGATTCAAATTAGAGTCAGCTTGATGATGGAATAAACGCATTCAGTATGTGATTGAGATCATAAACCGATTGATGTTAGAACACCACTGAAAACATGGAAGCTTTGGACGGCCGTTTCGTCCTACTGTGGGACTCCTCAGCAGTGTGCATCCATGATCTCGCTCCATTGTCGCGCGAGAACGTATAAACTCTAGACCACTGAGCCTACATCCGATGGTGTTAACGTCTAACCTCAACCAATCCACCCACTTGCGAGACCATCTTCTATTGTACTGAGGTAGATAACTGTCTCTACCTGACACTGATTAATCAGTAATCAGTATTAAATAAATATGTAGCTCAACATTTAAGTATAGGATACATGGTTCATGGGTTAAATAATGCGATTCTAAATATGTATGACTGAAGTTTACGTATTAAGTCAAATGAACTTGCTTGTCATTTATATTTGATGGCCATTTAATAAAGCAATTTAAATACACACACACACTGAACTACAAATCTTCTCCACCATCTCAAAACACACTGTTAAGTATGCAGAGGAATATACCAATAATTATCGTGTTAAGTCGAATGGTTTCCTTGGACTTGAAATGTACATTACCTATTGGTCGATATTTGTTTCACTTGTTAAATATTGTGTAAATGTTGTTTTCTATTTTATGGTACGATGTGGTTTGTTTGGTTGGTATATAAACAGAGTATGTCTGAAATACAATGATTCATATCTCAGAGGCTGTGACTTGCGTTCTGGGCTCGACTGGCTGGGACAGACAGCGAGGCCGGGCCAATCGGGACTCTAGGTCGTTCATTACGTGCTTACGTGTCGCTGAGTCGATCGATATAAACGCTGCTCCATCAAAACCTGCAGTCCACCCGTTACAACACACACATTGTGTACTACTGTGTTTAAGGGTAATTGAAATGATTGTATAATAAAAGAAAGCTCTCTTTTCTTAACAATCAGAGATTATATTTAACGTATGACTGGTAGTAGAGTCCAGGACGAAATTTTCGGTCCTATTTTGAAACTCGTTAGCCGAATGTATTTGAATTTCAGTGTTCATTTATTAGCTTAGACTATTGAAACCATTGATTGTTAAATAGATCACAACGCCAGTAATACCTTCCACGATTAGCAAAATATCCACAAAAACCCCTTTCTGATATTAACCAGCATATGCTCACTAGTGACTGGCTTCAAGAGATATTTCCTGAAGTTCTAGTAAGAAGTCGTGACCAGTAGAGTTCAACCATGTCTGTTGTGAGATAGTAACTCACTGAAGACGATGGTGGACGTGTGGCTCAATTCTGTGGATTGTTTGAAGTAAGACATTAACACCGTTGGATGGTAGTCGACTTAGTGGTCTATGAATTAGGCGTTCTTGGGCTAGGCCGATAGATCCTGGGTTTGAATCCCGTGGGGCGGGATCGTAGATGAGCACTGCTGAAGTGTACCACAGTAGGACGAAACAATCGTCCAGTGTTTTCAGATTTTTTGCATAATTGTCCAGATTCAATTGACTCATGATCTCAACTATTAAATTACAGTACAGTTTGAATGACATGAGAAACTTCAAGCAAAATCATTATGATTGTTTAAAGTATGATTTTTATAGTTTTTTTAAATTATTCAATTTTTATTCAAAGTAAAACCAACACTACTATTAAACAGTAAGTTAGAAATGTTAATAACTGGATGATTCCATTGAATTCTTTATTCCAAATAATCAGTATACTTTAGTTAGTTATAGTAACTTTTCTACAATCCATTTCGGTTACGGTTAAATGTTGGTTAAGCCCTTTTATTAACTTATTGAACAGACCATATTATTCGAACGGTAACCATTTGCGTATTTCTTTGTACTACTATGATCACTATCTTGTTTGTAGAAACGTGTACTGTTGATCACATGGGAGACTCTAGCTAAAATGTTGATCGCTTAAATCTTACTCAATCAGTCATATTCATATTCCGATGTTTATATATGTACTTGAATTCTATTAATAACCCTTGCTTTGCCTTGCTATGCGTTTATTCGATTTGACTATAAGTTTGCCTCTGTATTTGCTCGCATATACACGCACACATTCGCCACTCTGCTTCAAATCCACTTGATGTGCTTATAGCTTTGTGATTTGTGCTATTGGCTAATAAATTGTAGTCGCCGCTTCTTATTGCCACTTTCTGAGTTCAAACACCGTTGGAATCTACGTAGTAACGATTACAAGGGTGATTGATGGATGAAGCGAAGCCACTACACACTGACTAATATATTTACAAGAATATATATCCATATTGAAGAATATGTATTTATATACATAGATAACCTCTGAAGTTGACATTATAATCAAGCTTTAATGACTATAACAATATTTATGTTTCGATAAAATACAGATTGAAATGTGACCTTATTCAATTACTGAAGTAGTGACTGATTGATATCAATAAGTATGAAACTTCGATCAATTCAGTTCTATCATTCCATATTCAAACATCTTAAAAAGTTCTGAAAGAATTCTTAGTCACTTGGTTTAATGGTGACATTGTAGTATCATTGAAAGATAGCATTCAGTTTGTAGTGATATGGTGGTGTACGCTACACATGTCAATAAATATAACTAGTATGTAACACTAGTTGGAATTGGAAAACCTGGCAGCAGCAGCAGCAGGCTAAGAAGATCGAGTTGAAGAGATTAGACTGGAATTGGGCGAATCATACAGAATGTGAAGGACAAATGATGGAAATTTGTCAAATAGATTATTTAATGTATGGTTACCATATTTTACCAAGAGATTTTGTAATTCGATATCAAAATACATCGATTGTCTCCAGATGAGTTCTCATTCACTACAGTATGATCATGATTGGATAACATAACATGATTCCATGTTAATTATTCACTTGTTCATTTTAATCCCACTTCTCAATGCGTATGGAAGAAGTTAGCGCTACAAAATAATTTGGACGTGATACCTCAATAGTATTTGTATCAATATGATTTCAGGAGAAGTAATAAATAAATAAATAAAATTATAATCCTGACGTTTCGTAATTTAATATGAGGTACTTCTTCAAAGTAACTAAATAACTCTAAAGAAGTGGCTTACATTAAGTTACGAAACGTCAGAAATACAATTTTTCTACTCATTGAGATATAACAAACAAAATATATTTATTATAAACTTTCTATCCAATGCTCAATTTATTTGAAACTATCAACTCCAACATTGGCATTGATACCTATAAACAAGTGAAAACTGTTAGTGATAACTAGTTGACATAAGTATATAAACTTGTCTTTCAAATGGGTAAAATCCACTAATGAGCGTTGATTCACAGAATCCTACATTTTAATATTCAATTATTTTCTAATCTCAGCCAATCCACGAAATTGTATGATGATCTTCCATTGTCTGAGGTCAGTACTGTCTCTACCTAATACACATTAGCTCCACTGGTCACGAATTCACACTAGAACTCCGAGAATTCTCTCACGAAGCTAGTTGCTAGTGCGCACATGATGATTATTATTAGTAAATGGTTTGGGAAATACACTAAAACAGAAAGTCACAAATCAATTTGAAATAAAGCAATATAACAGACAAAACTCAACTAAGTAAAGAATAAACACAAAATAAACAGGAAAAGGAATACCAAATAGAGTACAAACCGCCAGTTAAAAGTTCCATTCACAAACAACAATCTTATATGCCTCATATAGATTTCCGAATACACGTTCAACTGATTAAATCTCAAATTCATCAGCCAGCAGTCAGTCAGTAACAACGCAGAACTTCGTACGTACGTACATCAGTTCGGGTTGCCATAACCCATTAGCACAGAGATGCAGTTGTCGATTCAAATCCCGTAGTGGTAGAGTTAGTAAGAGTATAAGCAGTAATCAGGAAGATTAGGGTTCGGAGATGTTATTTAAAGAGTATAATCTAGTGAAATAAATTTGGGAAGAGGAAAAAGAGACAAGGAGGAATCACGAGATTAAAATTTTGGAGAACACAAATAGTGTATGCATCTGCGCCATTGCAAACGACTTTGAGCCATGTAATTCAGGGTCTCTAACAATCGGTTGCTATCATGTCGCGATACAAAAACTGATACCCCACACCAAAACAACATGATTACGTCAAATTGTTAGTGAATTCATGGAGTCGTGAAATGTTTGGGTCCGGCAGCCCCTACCTTTCTTCAAACTTACTACTATACCATTGAATAACGCACTTAGAAGCAGTACCATTCAATCTGTAGTGACATGTTGATTGCAATCACACACATCACATTGTAACTCATTCTCAATATTATTGATCATTACTATTGCTATTGTCATTACTGTCATTACTCTCATTATGCTACAAACTGTTCGATTAATGGAACATACTCATCAATTTTAATACACACTTCATTTAGGACTCACCACACCGCAACAACAACAGCAGCAGCAGCAAAAACAACTGCAAGGTAAGTAAAATGCATTCACTCGTATCAAATATGACAGTCTTCTATTTTCATTCACTACAATAAACAATACTAAGTAATCAGTGTATATTTGAATCAATAAGAATTATCATGTCACACATTTACAACGATCAATACGATGAATCCACGAACTGTAAACGTTCAATTCACAACTACATGGAACAAGCATCAAGGTCCTCATGTCTGACAAACGAACGCATTGAGGAGTATTGTTGTTAGATTTTTACAGAACGAGTGTTGATTATCAGATACCTGGAAACTGACAGACAGACAGACGAACAAAATTCGTCCACACAATTCTGTCATTCATCATCAACAATCTAACACAATTCACAATGATGTTCATTCACTTGATTCATAAGTGATCATATCGTCAATTCGTCAGACGACTTCGTCCAACACATACTAATACTGTGAATGTATAACATTCAGACTATTATTTTCATGAACCCATTGCGCGTTTTCGTTTAGGCATTACCATGTGACCTCAACTCCAAGGTAAGTACACAGTTCTACATGTAATAACATGATGGTGTATTGTTTCATTTCTACTTAAATAACCATCAATCAAACAGTGTAGTTACATCAACAATAATTGATATGTTGAGAAGAAGCTATTGGTGAAGCAGAACTAGCTGTTCGAATTTCAACTGTGTTCAATAAATTATAAGAATTCGCAATTCTCAACATCACACAGATTAGATGTGATGTGATGTGTCAATGATGCATAATTGAATGAATGTCACCAACAGACAGCTATCAACAATGAGCATAATTTTGATGGAGTTTTGTTCTCTGAGCTAGATAGTTTAGCTGCGAAGACTTCAATGTTCTTCTGAACGACGTCATCAGCACAAACGTCGAACACTTCACTTCCATCTGACATTTGTGCTGATGATGTCGATCAGAGGAACGATGAGAGGTTCACGACCAAACTATCCAGCACAGAGAATATAACTCCATCAAAATCATCCACGTGAGCTACAAATCATTCATGCATTCATTCAATTCGACTCCAACTAACTAATTAACTAACTTCATTCACACAGACAGACGTATCATTTCGATTGATGATTAGGGTTTGTCACATCAATACCGCTTGATTCTCACTAAACTGGCTATGTTACGACGTCATCAAACCAATTATTGAGTGGTGTGAATGTGAGAATTTTCTCAACTATCTCTCGTCACTAGCATGTACCTGTGTCTCAATCATCAATGTAATCAATCCAATACCGAGCACAGATTTCCTCAACATTATCACTCCGATTCAACCATCTGACAAAATTTACAATCACCTTCAATCACTCTATTCTATATTATTTTCCACATCAAAAATTACCACATCTGTGCTGCTCGATCTGTAGTAACATAGTCAAAGCATAATATGACCCTGATTTTCAACATTTAATCGACTATTGTAGAAATCATCTCAATTTCTAACTACTAAATAATAATCTAAGATGTCGAATAGGTGATCGCAACCACATTTTGTGCTTTATTTTTGCACGGACATCTGATCGTTCATGTTGAACATTGTATATTGAATATTTACTTGTTTAGTTTCCCTGTCACATGTCGAACTATCATTCTCCTGAATTTTAACACATTTCATTCAGATATTACACTACACCGAGGACTGCACTGTAAGTAGTTCATATTTACCTGTATTTACTGACACAATTACAACCAGTGTCGACGTTCTGATAGACAGTAGAATGTCAACCGTTCAGTGTGCTTTACTTGTTCACTGTGCTCTCGCGATTGTAATGATGTATTGGGAAAGAGATAGTTGTCAACTGGACATGCTCACACTTCAACTAATCATACATTGGAACGTACATGCGGACGGTCTCGTAGCCACTAAACACACAAGTGGAAGCTGATGTGAAACATGCTAAATAATGCTTCTGAGACTTTCGCCATTCACATAACTACTACTACTGACATTTGACCACCACTGAATTCTACATGTGCATGAATGATAATATTGTTGAATATGTAACACAACAGTACTAGTGGTAGTGTATGCATCCAAGTTACAGTAAGGATGAGTAGGAAGTGATATAGATGGTATTAGGTATTGTATTGCATCATTCACTTCAAACCATCTTACACAATTCAGAGTGAATTTCCAGTCAAATCATCCATCGGTCACATCACAACCATATCGATTGATAACACTGTTTTAATTGTGGTGAATTCACCATAGGATAGCATGAAATATTTCACGTTAATTGTTTACTCGCTCATTTCAGACACACTACTCATCCCACACGAAAAACGTAAGCATTTCTAAATAACTTGTATGTGATATATCGGTAGAATCTGTACTGATGTATTTCAAATAATCGTGTTGTAAATAATTTGTGACAGTCGTATCTGTTTAGTTCACTCAATGTAGCAACCCAGCTGATTGATTCCATTGTCCTCTCAATTCAACATATATAATGCATGTGTGTTTGTATGTGATGATTACTAGTGATTTTCATAGAATAACATGAGTTCATTTCAGTCTGTTCGGTTATCGTCACCTGGTTACAATCCATAAAGTGTTAATAGAAGATATGTCACAGAAATCAGCCCATACTTATTCCAGTGAAATTGGTCAAATCTGAATACAGTTGAGTATGTGTTGGAGCATTGTTTGTGATCAAGTGAATGTAGTTGAGAAATATAACAATGCTCGGAAATGAATTCACCGTGTGACAGAATATCTCAGTACATGGAATGTGGTAACGAAATACCATATAGATAAACGATTGATTGACCATCCAATGAATTGGATGAACACCAGTTAATGGTGATCGCGACTAACATGAGTTGCGACTAATCAGTTTGTAAAGAGTTCATGAATCTCGGTGAAATGAAGGCCGAGGAATACAAATAAATGAGGTAGGCGTGTAAATGACGTAGCAACATGACGGTAATATCATCGTGATAAGACAAGAAACATTCAACACATTTTCTTCTTGAATACACAAATTTTGTTTGACAAGTTTGTTTGTCACATCTTCAGAAGATGTAAGAGGAGTAGAGTTCGATTGTTGGTTTATCACCTTTAAACATCTAGTCATGTCAACTCGATGTCCAACTGATGTCAAGTTGGTGTTTTGAAAGTTCACTACTGAAGATCAATAATCAGTGTAGACTAAGACTATGTAGAACTTGTATTGCAAACTAGTTGTTATCCACTACTTCTATTCTACCAATTTAGCCAGCTCCACCGATACATGCATACACGTCTACACACTCAGTTGGCAATAATATGAATGTGGTAATCACAGATTTCGAATTGTAGTCGAAACACGTTGTTTTGTGTGAGATGATCAGTTTGGCTGTAACATGGACACGTCTCGATCGGTGCCGTTTCCGATTTTCGGTTTATTGTTGATGCAATGTTGTCACCGTTAAAACCAGGTCGAATGAGAGTGGGAACTCTGTCGACTGTATTTTGTTTGTCGTTTTAGTCGTAACAGTTTCAGCATTTCTCATTGAAATTTCGTGAACATTCGTTCTTCCTTAGACACGATCTCACTCTCATTAGTTGAGCTTCCTGTGTGAGTATCTGTAGTACTATGCTCTGTGATCTGTGATAAGGAGTTTTTGTAAGTTCCATGTAGTAATTATTTGGAAGAACAATGTTGAAGTGTAGATCAACTGCACTCCTTGTGTCTATTCAATAAACTGAACATCGAATGTGCCACACTGTTTACTGAATTACGATAAACATACACTGCAAATGATCTTCTTCTACACGTTGTATGAGTCCTTCGAGCTCTGATACTGGTAGAAGTGGGAGGTCAGAATTCACAGAAAGCATGTCTGTGGTTTGAAGAAGATGTATTTTTGTGAGCAGGGATGTTATGTCAAGAGAAACAATCGATTCATCAGAAATGATTATTTGATTCGTTCTGTGAACAAACTGAAAACAGCTTGTTAATATACAGGATTAGCTAATCGATGACAAACCGGTTACAATCACTCCGAAAGACTGTGAGTGAAATCGTTTTCATGTGAATCGGAGACGTATGTGAATTCCTATTTGACCTTACATTTGTGAAATGGTGAAAACTGAGGTTCTGTAATAGTGTCACGTGTTGTTTGCACTAGCATGTACCTGTGTCTCAATCATCAATGTAATCAATCCAATACCGAGCACAGATTTCCTCAACATTATCACTCCGATTCAACCATCTGACAAAATTTACAATCACCTTCAATCACTCTATTCTATATTATTTTCCACATCAAAAATTACCACATCTGTGCTGCTCGATCTGTAGTAACATAGTCAAAGCATAATATGACCCTGATTTTCAACATTTAATCGACTATTGTAGAAATCATCTCAATTTCTAACTACTAAATAATAATCTAAGATGTCGAATAGGTGATCGCAACCACATTTTGTGCTTTATTTTTGCACGGACATCTGATCGTTCATGTTGAACATTGTATATTGAATATTTACTTGTTTAGTTTCCCTGTCACATGTCGAACTATCATTCTCCTGAATTTTAACACATTTCATTCAGATATTACACTACACCGAGGACTGCACTGTAAGTAGTTCATATTTACCTGTATTTACTGACACAATTACAACCAGTGTCGACGTTCTGATAGACAGTAGAATGTCAACCGTTCAGTGTGCTTTACTTGTTCACTGTGCTCTCGCGATTGTAATGATGTATTGGGAAAGAGATAGTTGTCAACTGGACATGCTCACACTTCAACTAATCATACATTGGAACGTACATGCGGACGGTCTCGTAGCCACTAAACACACAAGTGGAAGCTGATGTGAAACATGCTAAATAATGCTTCTGAGACTTTCGCCATTCACATAACTACTACTACTGACATTTGACCACCACTGAATTCTACATGTGCATGAATGATAATATTGTTGAATATGTAACACAACAGTACTAGTGGTAGTGTATGCATCCAAGTTACAGTAAGGATGAGTAGGAAGTGATATGGATGGTATTAGGTATTGTATTGCATCATTCACTTCAAACCATCTTACACAATTCAGAGTGAATTTCCAGTCAAATCATCCATCGGTCACATCACAACCATATCGATTGATAACACTGTTTTAATTGTGGTGAATTCACCATAGGATAGCATGAAATATTTCACGTTAATTGTTTACTCGCTCATTTCAGACACACTACTCATCCCACACGAAAAACGTAAGCATTTCTAAATAACTTGTATGTGATATATCGGTAGAATCTGTACTGATGTATTTCAAATAATCGTGTTGTAAATAATTTGTGACAGTCGTATCTGTTTAGTTCACTCAATGTAGCAACCCAGCTGATTGATTCCATTGTCCTCTCAATTCAACATATATAATGCATGTGTGTTTGTATGTGATGATTACTAGTGATTTTCATAGAATAACATGAGTTCATTTCAGTCTGTTCGGTTATCGTCACCTGGTTACAATCCATAAAGTGTTAATAGAAGATATGTCACAGAAATCAGCCCATACTTATTCCAGTGAAATTGGTCAAATCTGAATACAGTTGAGTATGTGTTGGAGCATTGTTTGTGATCAAGTGAATGTAGTTGAGAAATATAACAATGCTCGGAAATGAATTCACCGTGTGACAGAATATCTCAGTACATGGAATGTGGTAACGAAATACCATATAGATAAACGATTGATTGACCATCCAATGAATTGGATGAACACCAGTTAATGGTGATCGCGACTAACATGAGTTGCGACTAATCAGTTTGTAAAGAGTTCATGAATCTCGGTGAAATGAAGGCCGAGGAATACAAATAAATGAGGTAGGCGTGTAAATGACGTAGCAACATGACGGTAATATCATCGTGATAAGACAAGAAACATTCAACACATTTTCTTCTTGAATACACAAATTTTGTTTGACAAGTTTGTTTGTCACATCTTCAGAAGATGTAAGAGGAGTAGAGTTCGATTGTTGGTTTATCACCTTTAAACATCTAGTCATGTCAACTCGATGTCCAACTGATGTCAAGTTGGTGTTTTGAAAGTTCACTACTGAAGATCAATAATCAGTGTAGACTAAGACTATGTAGAACTTGTATTGCAAACTAGTTGTTATCCACTACTTCTATTCTACCAATTTAGCCAGCTCCACCGATACATGCATACACGTCTACACACTCAGTTGGCAATAATATGAATGTGGTAATCACAGATTTCGAATTGTAGTCGAAACACGTTGTTTTGTGTGAGATGATCAGTTTGGCTGTAACATGGACACGTCTCGATCGGTGCCGTTTCCGATTTTCGGTTTATTGTTGATGCAATGTTGTCACCGTTAAAACCAGGTCGAATGAGAGTGGGAACTCTGTCGACTGTATTTTGTTTGTCGTTTTAGTCGTAACAGTTTCAGCATTTCTCATTGAAATTTCGTGAACATTCGTTCTTCCTTAGACACGATCTCACTCTCATTAGTTGAGCTTCCTGTGTGAGTATCTGTAGTACTATGCTCTGTGATCTGTGATAAGGAGTTTTTGTAAGTTCCATGTAGTAATTATTTGGAAGAACAATGTTGAAGTGTAGATCAACTGCACTCCTTGTGTCTATTCAATAAACTGAACATCGAATGTGCCACACTGTTTACTGAATTACGATAAACATACACTGCAAATGATCTTCTTCTACACGTTGTATGAGTCCTTCGAGCTCTGATACTGGTAGAAGTGGGAGGTCAGAATTCACAGAAAGCATGTCTGTGGTTTGAAGAAGATGTATTTTTGTGAGCAGGGATGTTATGTCAAGAGAAACAATCGATTCATCAGAAATGATTATTTGATTCGTTCTGTGAACAAACTGAAAACAGCTTGTTAATATACAGGATTAGCTAATCGATGACAAACCGGTTACAATCACTCCGAAAGACTGTGAGTGAAATCGTTTTCATGTGAATCGGAGACGTATGTGAATTCCTATTTGACCTTACATTTGTGAAATGGTGAAAACTGAGGTTCTGTAATAGTGTCACGTGTTGTTTGCACTAGCATGTACCTGTGTCTCAATCATCAATGTAATCAATCCAATACCGAGCACAGATTTCCTCAACATTATCACTCCGATTCAACCATCTGACAAAATTTACAATCACCTTCAATCACTCTATTCTATATTATTTTCCACATCAAAAATTACCACATCTGTGCTGCTCGATCTGTAGTAACATAGTCAAAGCATAATATGACCCTGATTTTCAACATTTAATCGACTATTGTAGAAATCATCTCAATTTCTAACTACTAAATAATAATCTAAGATGTCGAATAGGTGATCGCAACCACATTTTGTGCTTTATTTTTGCACGGACATCTGATCGTTCATGTTGAACATTGTATATTGAATATTTACTTGTTTAGTTTCCCTGTCACATGTCGAACTATCATTCTCCTGAATTTTAACACATTTCATTCAGATATTACACTACACCGAGGACTGCACTGTAAGTAGTTCATATTTACCTGTATTTACTGACACAATTACAACCAGTGTCGACGTTCTGATAGACAGTAGAATGTCAACCGGTCAGTGTGCTTTACTTGTTCACTGTGCTCTCGCGATTGTAATGATGTATTGGGAAAGAGATAGTTGTCAACTGGACATGCTCACACTTCAACTAATCATACATTGGAACGTACATGCGGACGGTCTCGTAGCCACTAAACACACAAGTGGAAGCTGATGTGAAACATGCTAAATAATGCTTCTGAGACTTTCGCCATTCACATAACTACTACTACTGACATTTGACCACCACTGAATTCTACATGTGCATGAATGATAATATTGTTGAATATGTAACACAACAGTACTAGTGGTAGTGTATGCATCCAAGTTACAGTAAGGATGAGTAGGAAGTGATATGGATGGTATTAGGTATTGTATTGCATCATTCACTTCAAACCATCTTACACAATTCAGAGTGAATTTCCAGTCAAATCATCCATCGGTCACATCACAACCATATCGATTGATAACACTGTTTTAATTGTGGTGAATTCACCATAGGATAGCATGAAATATTTCACGTTAATTGTTTACTCGCTCATTTCAGACACACTACTCATCCCACACGAAAAACGTAAGCATTTCTAAATAACTTGTATGTGATATATCGGTAGAATCTGTACTGATGTATTTCAAATAATCGTGTTGTAAATAATTTGTGACAGTCGTATCTGTTTAGTTCACTCAATGTAGCAACCCAGCTGATTGATTCCATTGTCCTCTCAATTCAACATATATAATGCATGTGTGTTTGTATGTGATGATTACTAGTGATTTTCATAGAATAACATGAGTTCATTTCAGTCTGTTCGGTTATCGTCACCTGGTTACAATCCATAAAGTGTTAATAGAAGATATGTCACAGAAATCAGCCCATACTTATTCCAGTGAAATTGGTCAAATCTGAATACAGTTGAGTATGTGTTGGAGCATTGTTTGTGATCAAGTGAATGTAGTTGAGAAATATAACAATGCTCGGAAATGAATTCACCGTGTGACAGAATATCTCAGTACATGGAATGTGGTAACGAAATACCATATAGATAAACGATTGATTGACCATCCAATGAATTGGATGAACACCAGTTAATGGTGATCGCGACTAACATGAGTTGCGACTAATCAGTTTGTAAAGAGTTCATGAATCTCGGTGAAATGAAGGCCGAGGAATACAAATAAATGAGGTAGGCGTGTAAATGACGTAGCAACATGACGGTAATATCATCGTGATAAGACAAGAAACATTCAACACATTTTCTTCTTGAATACACAAATTTTGTTTGACAAGTTTGTTTGTCACATCTTCAGAAGATGTAAGAGGAGTAGAGTTCGATTGTTGGTTTATCACCTTTAAACATCTAGTCATGTCAACTCGATGTCCAACTGATGTCAAGTTGGTGTTTTGAAAGTTCACTACTGAAGATCAATAATCAGTGTAGACTAAGACTATGTAGAACTTGTATTGCAAACTAGTTGTTATCCACTACTTCTATTCTACCAATTTAGCCAGCTCCACCGATACATGCATACACGTCTACACACTCAGTTGGCAATAATATGAATGTGGTAATCACAGATTTCGAATTGTAGTCGAAACACGTTGTTTTGTGTGAGATGATCAGTTTGGCTGTAACATGGACACGTCTCGATCGGTGCCGTTTCCGATTTTCGGTTTATTGTTGATGCAATGTTGTCACCGTTAAAACCAGGTCGAATGAGAGTGGGAACTCTGTCGACTGTATTTTGTTTGTCGTTTTAGTCGTAACAGTTTCAGCATTTCTCATTGAAATTTCGTGAACATTCGTTCTTCCTTAGACACGATCTCACTCTCATTAGTTGAGCTTCCTGTGTGAGTATCTGTAGTACTATGCTCTGTGATCTGTGATAAGGAGTTTTTGTAAGTTCCATGTAGTAATTATTTGGAAGAACAATGTTGAAGTGTAGATCAACTGCACTCCTTGTGTCTATTCAATAAACTGAACATCGAATGTGCCACACTGTTTACTGAATTACGATAAACATACACTGCAAATGATCTTCTTCTACACGTTGTATGAGTCCTTCGAGCTCTGATACTGGTAGAAGTGGGAGGTCAGAATTCACAGAAAGCATGTCTGTGGTTTGAAGAAGATGTATTTTTGTGAGCAGGGATGTTATGTCAAGAGAAACAATCGATTCATCAGAAATGATTATTTGATTCGTTCTGTGAACAAACTGAAAACAGCTTGTTAATATACAGGATTAGCTAATCGATGACAAACCGGTTACAATCACTCCGAAAGACTGTGAGTGAAATCGTTTTCATGTGAATCGGAGACGTATGTGAATTCCTATTTGACCTTACATTTGTGAAATGGTGAAAACTGAGGTTCTGTAATAGTGTCACGTGTTGTTTGCACTAGCATGTACCTGTGTCTCAATCATCAATGTAATCAATCCAATACCGAGCACAGATTTCCTCAACATTATCACTCCGATTCAACCATCTGACAAAATTTACAATCACCTTCAATCACTCTATTCTATATTATTTTCCACATCAAAAATTACCACATCTGTGCTGCTCGATCTGTAGTAACATAGTCAAAGCATAATATGACCCTGATTTTCAACATTTAATCGACTATTGTAGAAATCATCTCAATTTCTAACTACTAAATAATAATCTAAGATGTCGAATAGGTGATCGCAACCACATTTTGTGCTTTATTTTTGCACGGACATCTGATCGTTCATGTTGAACATTGTATATTGAATATTTACTTGTTTAGTTTCCCTGTCACATGTCGAACTATCATTCTCCTGAATTTTAACACATTTCATTCAGATATTACACTACACCGAGGACTGCACTGTAAGTAGTTCATATTTACCTGTATTTACTGACACAATTACAACCAGTGTCGACGTTCTGATAGACAGTAGAATGTCAACCGGTCAGTGTGCTTTACTTGTTCACTGTGCTCTCGCGATTGTAATGATGTATTGGGAAAGAGATAGTTGTCAACTGGACATGCTCACACTTCAACTAATCATACATTGGAACGTACATGCGGACGGTCTCGTAGCCACTAAACACACAAGTGGAAGCTGATGTGAAACATGCTAAATAATGCTTCTGAGACTTTCGCCATTCACATAACTACTACTACTGACATTTGACCACCACTGAATTCTACATGTGCATGAATGATAATATTGTTGAATATGTAACACAACAGTACTAGTGGTAGTGTATGCATCCAAGTTACAGTAAGGATGAGTAGGAAGTGATATGGATGGTATTAGGTATTGTATTGCATCATTCACTTCAAACCATCTTACACAATTCAGAGTGAATTTCCAGTCAAATCATCCATCGGTCACATCACAACCATATCGATTGATAACACTGTTTTAATTGTGGTGAATTCACCATAGGATAGCATGAAATATTTCACGTTAATTGTTTACTCGCTCATTTCAGACACACTACTCATCCCACACGAAAAACGTAAGCATTTCTAAATAACTTGTATGTGATATATCGGTAGAATCTGTACTGATGTATTTCAAATAATCGTGTTGTAAATAATTTGTGACAGTCGTATCTGTTTAGTTCACTCAATGTAGCAACCCAGCTGATTGATTCCATTGTCCTCTCAATTCAACATATATAATGCATGTGTGTTTGTATGTGATGATTACTAGTGATTTTCATAGAATAACATGAGTTCATTTCAGTCTGTTCGGTTATCGTCACCTGGTTACAATCCATAAAGTGTTAATAGAAGATATGTCACAGAAATCAGCCCATACTTATTCCAGTGAAATTGGTCAAATCTGAATACAGTTGAGTATGTGTTGGAGCATTGTTTGTGATCAAGTGAATGTAGTTGAGAAATATAACAATGCTCGGAAATGAATTCACCGTGTGACAGAATATCTCAGTACATGGAATGTGGTAACGAAATACCATATAGATAAACGATTGATTGACCATCCAATGAATTGGATGAACACCAGTTAATGGTGATCGCGACTAACATGAGTTGCGACTAATCAGTTTGTAAAGAGTTCATGAATCTCGGTGAAATGAAGGCCGAGGAATACAAATAAATGAGGTAGGCGTGTAAATGACGTAGCAACATGACGGTAATATCATCGTGATAAGACAAGAAACATTCAACACATTTTCTTCTTGAATACACAAATTTTGTTTGACAAGTTTGTTTGTCACATCTTCAGAAGATGTAAGAGGAGTAGAGTTCGATTGTTGGTTTATCACCTTTAAACATCTAGTCATGTCAACTCGATGTCCAACTGATGTCAAGTTGGTGTTTTGAAAGTTCACTACTGAAGATCAATAATCAGTGTAGACTAAGACTATGTAGAACTTGTATTGCAAACTAGTTGTTATCCACTACTTCTATTCTACCAATTTAGCCAGCTCCACCGATACATGCATACACGTCTACACACTCAGTTGGCAATAATATGAATGTGGTAATCACAGATTTCGAATTGTAGTCGAAACACGTTGTTTTGTGTGAGATGATCAGTTTGGCTGTAACATGGACACGTCTCGATCGGTGCCGTTTCCGATTTTCGGTTTATTGTTGATGCAATGTTGTCACCGTTAAAACCAGGTCGAATGAGAGTGGGAACTCTGTCGACTGTATTTTGTTTGTCGTTTTAGTCGTAACAGTTTCAGCATTTCTCATTGAAATTTCGTGAACATTCGTTCTTCCTTAGACACGATCTCACTCTCATTAGTTGAGCTTCCTGTGTGAGTATCTGTAGTACTATGCTCTGTGATCTGTGATAAGGAGTTTTTGTAAGTTCCATGTAGTAATTATTTGGAAGAACAATGTTGAAGTGTAGATCAACTGCACTCCTTGTGTCTATTCAATAAACTGAACATCGAATGTGCCACACTGTTTACTGAATTACGATAAACATACACTGCAAATGATCTTCTTCTACACGTTGTATGAGTCCTTCGAGCTCTGATACTGGTAGAAGTGGGAGGTCAGAATTCACAGAAAGCATGTCTGTGGTTTGAAGAAGATGTATTTTTGTGAGCAGGGATGTTATGTCAAGAGAAACAATCGATTCATCAGAAATGATTATTTGATTCGTTCTGTGAACAAACTGAAAACAGCTTGTTAATATACAGGATTAGCTAATCGATGACAAACCGGTTACAATCACTCCGAAAGACTGTGAGTGAAATCGTTTTCATGTGAATCGGAGACGTATGTGAATTCCTATTTGACCTTACATTTGTGAAATGGTGAAAACTGAGGTTCTGTAATAGTGTCACGTGTTGTTTGCACTAGCATGTACCTGTGTCTCAATCATCAATGTAATCAATCCAATACCGAGCACAGATTTCCTCAACATTATCACTCCGATTCAACCATCTGACAAAATTTACAATCACCTTCAATCACTCTATTCTATATTATTTTCCACATCAAAAATTACCACATCTGTGCTGCTCGATCTGTAGTAACATAGTCAAAGCATAATATGACCCTGATTTTCAACATTTAATCGACTATTGTAGAAATCATCTCAATTTCTAACTACTAAATAATAATCTAAGATGTCGAATAGGTGATCGCAACCACATTTTGTGCTTTATTTTTGCACGGACATCTGATCGTTCATGTTGAACATTGTATATTGAATATTTACTTGTTTAGTTTCCCTGTCACATGTCGAACTATCATTCTCCTGAATTTTAACACATTTCATTCAGATATTACACTACACCGAGGACTGCACTGTAAGTAGTTCATATTTACCTGTATTTACTGACACAATTACAACCAGTGTCGACGTTCTGATAGACAGTAGAATGTCAACCGGTCAGTGTGCTTTACTTGTTCACTGTGCTCTCGCGATTGTAATGATGTATTGGGAAAGAGATAGTTGTCAACTGGACATGCTCACACTTCAACTAATCATACATTGGAACGTACATGCGGACGGTCTCGTAGCCACTAAACACACAAGTGGAAGCTGATGTGAAACATGCTAAATAATGCTTCTGAGACTTTCGCCATTCACATAACTACTACTACTGACATTTGACCACCACTGAATTCTACATGTGCATGAATGATAATATTGTTGAATATGTAACACAACAGTACTAGTGGTAGTGTATGCATCCAAGTTACAGTAAGGATGAGTAGGAAGTGATATGGATGGTATTAGGTATTGTATTGCATCATTCACTTCAAACCATCTTACACAATTCAGAGTGAATTTCCAGTCAAATCATCCATCGGTCACATCACAACCATATCGATTGATAACACTGTTTTAATTGTGGTGAATTCACCATAGGATAGCATGAAATATTTCACGTTAATTGTTTACTCGCTCATTTCAGACACACTACTCATCCCACACGAAAAACGTAAGCATTTCTAAATAACTTGTATGTGATATATCGGTAGAATCTGTACTGATGTATTTCAAATAATCGTGTTGTAAATAATTTGTGACAGTCGTATCTGTTTAGTTCACTCAATGTAGCAACCCAGCTGATTGATTCCATTGTCCTCTCAATTCAACATATATAATGCATGTGTGTTTGTATGTGATGATTACTAGTGATTTTCATAGAATAACATGAGTTCATTTCAGTCTGTTCGGTTATCGTCACCTGGTTACAATCCATAAAGTGTTAATAGAAGATATGTCACAGAAATCAGCCTATACTTATTCCAGTGAAATTGGTCAAATCTGAATACAGTTGAGTATGTGTTGGAGCATTGTTTGTGATCAAGTGAATGTAGTTGAGAAATATAACAATGCTCGGAAATGAATTCACCGTGTGACAGAATATCTCAGTACATGGAATGTGGTAACGAAATACCATATAGATAAACGATTGATTGACCATCCAATGAATTGGATGAACACCAGTTAATGGTGATCGCGACTAACATGAGTTGCGACTAATCAGTTTGTAAAGAGTTCATGAATCTCGGTGAAATGAAGGCCGAGGAATACAAATAAATGAGGTAGGCGTGTAAATGACGTAGCAACATGACGGTAATATCATCGTGATAAGACAAGAAACATTCAACACATTTTCTTCTTGAATACACAAATTTTGTTTGACAAGTTTGTTTGTCACATCTTCAGAAGATGTAAGAGGAGTAGAGTTCGATTGTTGGTTTATCACCTTTAAACATCTAGTCATGTCAACTCGATGTCCAACTGATGTCAAGTTGGTGTTTTGAAAGTTCACTACTGAAGATCAATAATCAGTGTAGACTAAGACTATGTAGAACTTGTATTGCAAACTAGTTGTTATCCACTACTTCTATTCTACCAATTTAGCCAGCTCCACCGATACATGCATACACGTCTACACACTCAGTTGGCAATAATATGAATGTGGTAATCACAGATTTCGAATTGTAGTCGAAACACGTTGTTTTGTGTGAGATGATCAGTTTGGCTGTAACATGGACACGTCTCGATCGGTGCCGTTTCCGATTTTCGGTTTATTGTTGATGCAATGTTGTCACCGTTAAAACCAGGTCGAATGAGAGTGGGAACTCTGTCGACTGTATTTTGTTTGTCGTTTTAGTCGTAACAGTTTCAGCATTTCTCATTGAAATTTCGTGAACATTCGTTCTTCCTTAGACACGATCTCACTCTCATTAGTTGAGCTTCCTGTGTGAGTATCTGTAGTACTATGCTCTGTGATCTGTGATAAGGAGTTTTTTGTAAGTTCCATGTAGTAATTATTTGGAAGAACAATGTTGAAGTGTAGATCAACTGCACTCCTTGTGTCTATTCAATAAACTGAACATCGAATGTGCCACACTGTTTACTGAATTACGATAAACATACACTGCAAATGATCTTCTTCTACACGTTGTATGAGTCCTTCGAGCTCTGATACTGGTAGAAGTGGGAGGTCAGAATTCACAGAAAGCATGTCTGTGGTTTGAAGAAGATGTATTTTTGTGAGCAGGGATGTTATGTCAAGAGAAACAATCGATTCATCAGAAATGATTATTTGATTCGTTCTGTGAACAAACTGAAAACAGCTTGTTAATATACAGGATTAGCTAATCGATGACAAACCGGTTACAATCACTCTGATAGACAGTGTGTGAAATTGTGTTCATGTGAATCGGAGACCTATATGAATCCCCATTTGACCTTACATTTGTGAAATGGTGAAAACTGAGGTTCTGTAATAGTGTCACGTGTTGTTTGCACAAAATTCTCGACTGTGTTGTAGGTGACATCATGTGTTGGATGACGACGTCAACCAGTTGGATTTCAACTGGTTCTTCGTCTTGTTCCTCTTTTTTCCTTCTTCTCCTATTCCCACTCTAATAACAAATATTTCAGTTACTCAAATGAATGCTCCGTTTGTATTACTGTATCTTTCCTGTTGTTAAGTGTATTGACGATATGAGATCACAAGTGTAGGGATAGATCTCCATCACCTACTTGATACAGATTTACATTTAATGAGCTGCAGGTGAATTTCACTGGGTTTCCTCATAATATTTGGGTCCAGCCGCCCCTACCTTTCTTCAAACCTACTACTATACCACTGAACATCGCACGTCGAGGCAGCACCATTCAATCTGTAGTGACATGTTGATTGCAATCACACACATCACATTGTAACTCATTCTCAATATTATTGATCATTACTATTGCTATTGTCATTACTGTCATTACTCTCATTATGCTACAAACTGTTCGATTAATGGAACATACTCATCAATTTTAATACACACTTCATTTAGGACTCACCACACCGCAACAACAACAGCAGCAGCAGCAGCAAAAACAACTGCAAGGTAAGTAAAATGCATTCACTCGTATCAAATATGACAGTCTTCTATTTTCATTCACTACAATAAACAATACTAAGTAATCAGTGTATATTTGAATCAATAAGAATTATCATGTCACACATTTACAACGATCAATACGATGAATCCACGAACTGTAAACGTTCAATTCACAACTACATGGAACAAGCATCAAGGTCCTCATGTCTGACAAACGAACGCATTGAGGAGTATTGTTGTTAGATTTTTACAGAACGAGTGTTGATTATCAGATACCTGGAAACTGACAGACAGACAGACGAACAAAATTCGTCCACACAATTCTGTCATTCATCATCAACAATCTAACACAATTCACAATGATGTTCATTCACTTGATTCATAAGTGATCATATCGTCAATTCGTCAGACGACTTCGTCCAACACATACTAATACTGTGAATGTATAACATTCAGACTATTATTTTCATGAACCCATTGCGCGTTTTCGTTTAGGCATTACCATGTGACCTCAACTCCAAGGTAAGTACACAGTTCTACATGTAATAACATGATGGTGTATTGTTTCATTTCTACTTAAATAACCATCAATCAAACAGTGTAGTTACATCAACAATAATTGATATGTTGAGAAGAAGCTATTGGTGAAGCAGAACTAGCTGTTCGAATTTCAACTGTGTTCAATAAATTATAAGAATTCGCAATTCTCAACATCACACAGATTAGATGTGATGTGATGTGTCAATGATGCATAATTGAATGAATGTCACCAACAGACAGCTATCAACAATGAATTTAAGTTTATTCTCCCATGCTTTCAATTCATTTCCAATTTACATATAAACTTGATTCACACAGACAGTCATATGATATCGATTTACTTTCATGCTTACACATCTCGTTTGAGCATAGCGATCATTGATTTTCTTCGTTTCACTGAGTATATGTCTATTTGCTTAAAATTTCATGTAGCTAACTTTCTACTTTTGATTGGATAATTTAATTTTTTGTTGTTTATTTATCATCACCATTCTGTTGCGTTCCTTTGTAATTCAAGGGAGTTTTACGTGTATTCGGAAAGTTCATTCTGTTGACATTTTGAATAAGCAGTATGATCTTCTTGTCTCGTCGACTCAACACAGAATGATCGGTTATATTTTTCTCTTAAGACAACTAGGACCCATTATAAGAAGATTGATAACCAATCAACATTTAACTTTAATCCATGCAACTATTAGGTTCCCCTTCGTCACTTCTTTTTGCACACTTCAAGAGGTATTTTTTACTTGCTTTGTCACATTAATACATAATGATAACATCGATAGGATTTAGTTAACAGTCTTTATATTGTTAGTGAATAACACGACATACTTCTCCATGATTGTTATGGTTATTATCACATTTGTTTTAGCCACACTACTAAAGCCGTACAAAAGAAGTAAGTGTTATTAATAAATAAAGTGTAAATAGTATACATGCACTAAGTTGATTGTCTATACAACACATGACACAATTGTATGTATAAAATCAAATTTTCTCAAGTTCCTCTGAACTAGTTCAATTGTAATATCTGCAAATTCACTGTTAGGTGATGTAGATGACAATTTCTATCAAGATATCAGTCAAGTTTAGTTCGTAAACATACTCCATCATCAACTATGTTGGTGGAGTTTAGTTCTCTGAATTGGATGGTTGAGTTGTAAAACTTTCATTGTTTTTTTCGGAAAAAACATCAGAACAAATTTATGGTAAATTTAGATCATTGAAATTTAGAAATTCCATCAAAATCAGTCACTTCAGCTACAAATCTTCTCCATCACTTCATCATTATGAATAGATTCATGCAAACGCATCAATCAACTTCAATCATCCAAAGTAGTTTATAAAGATATTGAAACACTATTTGTAGCGATCATGTCTCAGGTCTTATAATCAGTATTACTTCGTAATTATTAGTGTTATGATGTGAAATCATATACTACCTGTTTTCTTTTATTGGGGGGAGGTAGTCCAGATCGACTTTCATATTGTTACAGCTGGAGGTTAGATTCTTGACATACCGCGTACAACTCGAGCACTCAGGTGGTCGATTCCTCCAAGTCACAAATGAGAAGACAGAAGACAAGTGAAAGGAATGCTATTCCAAATAGTGTCAAATATGGTAGAAAATCCTCAGTTATTTATAGTTTCTAGTTGAAAGAAATCATCATTATGGTCATCCAATCTACATACAGAGGGTTTTAGCATTTGTCCAAAAGGGAAGCTACACGTTAAGATTCTGGAATATTCTTCCGAAAGATGATTGGATGGAATATCTTCGGCACTTTATGAGATTCTTAAAGATTCCTTGAGTTCATTCATTGACCGTTCTCATACATATATTTATCAGTATCTTTAACAAGTTCGTTTTTATCGTTGGTATTTCTTAATGATAGATCCCATTTGGTTTACTATTCAAAATCAGCAATCACTTGTGATAATTAGAAGTATTTAAATTATAGTATGAACTAAGAATCCCAGAAATACCGTAATCAGATCAAGAAGTACTAGATAATCACAAACGAATGTATTGTATTTAGAATTCGAAATCAAGCATTCAACAAGTACAAAGGAAGCATTCAAACACCACACCACTCTATGAATATTTCATCTTAGTATGGGGTCTTTTCAGAGTAACTCACGTTATCTAAGGTTAACTCATGGCAAATACCATCTGTAAATTAAACGAATACCTACTCACGTATATACCATATGTATAATTCAGTATCTGGAATATGAATCTATTTCTTTCTTTTAGATGTTTAAAGAAAATGAAACCAAACGAGTAAGTAGAGTAAAATGATTGATAAATAATATAATAAAGATTCTTTTTATTCATTCTATTAGAGGAAATCAAAAAGGGAAAACAACATGCCGTCCAGTGCTTCTAGGTTTTCCATGGTGGTCTAGCTTCAATTGACTCATGGTTTCAATCTGTGTAATTTGAAATAAGCCCAAAACGTTTTACGTTATAAGTATAGATGTAATCTGTATCAATCTTTGGTTTACGCAATAGTAGTATTCACCGTGAATTATGTAACATAACTGAAGGGGATATTCAATCATTCAGTATGGTGACAATCTATAATAACTTTTATTTTAATTGTTAGACGATGTTGGAAGTGAATAGGATATACATTGAGGAAATCATTAAACTGCATCACGAGGCAAGTGCTAAATTGGACTCCTGAAGGGTAGCGGAAAAGAGGAAGGCAGAAGAACAAACTACTTTGGGAAATGGAAGCAGACATGAAAAAGATAAATAGCAACTGGAAAAAATTGTCCAGAACAGGGTTGGATGGAGAATGGTTGTGGACAGTCTATGCTCCTCTACGAGGGGTAACTGGAGTAAATTCATTTTAGTAAAATATTCAAACTTTTATTGCATTTCAGTTTGATGAACTTAATATTTGGCCTGATTCCTCGAATGTAAGTCAAATGATTTCCTTTGTGTAAAATAAATATTTACTTCATATATTTTTGTGATCTTCAACTGATTTCATTGAAAAAAGAACTCAATTGCACTGAATAGCAATGCTTTTCAAAATTAGAGAATGTAAAACACTCCAAAACTGACATCTTTAGGAAATGTAAACGTTAAGATGGGTAGTGTCTAGCAGTGAAATCCATGACGCGCGTTTCGTCCTATTTAGGACTCGTCAGCTGGATATACCTGCATCCCAGAGTTGATGTTCACTCTGGGATAATGACAAGATATAAGCAAACAATACCAAGTGAATGTAAACGTTAGTTTTAATGTTCGGGTTTGAATTTCTCCATCGGTGATATTATTGACTGCAATCAATCAGTCTCTTCTGTTAAATATGCACATACTAGATGAAACGCATTGATATTGACTTTAATTATAGGTCTTTAGTATAGTTGTACTGTATCTACGACTGAAATCCAGGACATGAGTTGAATTCCATTTCAGAATGGTTAGCTGGTGCCTCACCATATCAGTGTTAAAATTTACAACCAAATTTGAATTTATTACCCGTTGCCTTAAACAACAATCCTTTATTCACTAAGTTACTGAATATTGATCGCTATGTAATTGTTGAGTGGGATATAAATTCACACATAATAGTCTTAAATGAAAAACAGAAACAACTAGATTTCTCACTATAAGGCTGTGAAGATTGTTAGGTTTTTGATTTAGATCATAAATTAACTGATGTTGCTGAGGATTCCCATGCTAGGTCGAAACGGCCGTCCAGTACTTCCAGGTTTTCAATGGTGGTCTAACATCAATCGATTCATGATCTCAATCAAAAACTAGATTTCTATTAAAATGTCCCTTTTGATGAACAAGTTATTGAAAATCCCTTTCTTACAGTTAATTCTTTATTGACAACTTCGGATGCCACTTCTACATAAGCGGCAAATCTATACTGTACAGTAAATCTTGTTACCTACGGAGTGAACTTGAAATCAACCAATGAGAAATAGTTATTCATAGTATAGCTTTTGCAAAAGAGCTGTATAATGTGGAAGAGTAATAAAACTACACTAGATTAAAAGTTTTTATACAACTATGACTACCTTTCAATCACTTATGCTGTAAACCATAATATTGTAACGTGAATCAACTCCAAGTTTTATTACTAATTCTGTCAAAAGCCGATTACTAATCGTAAGCCCATGAACTCTAACTCCTAACCGTAGAAGTTTATTTCACAAAAAAACGTCAGTAACCAATCCTTTTCAAATGAGAAGTGTGATCCAAATCATGATTTCTAAAGACAAGTCATCTTCAGGAGCATCTTAAATGTGCGTTAATACATAACATTAATTAGCTTGATCGATTAAAGCAATAAGTATAGCATAGTTCTACTGAAAAGCCAATGAAGTTATAGTGAGACAATAGTTTTGACATGATTAATTAGCTTTTAATTGTTGAATTATTCTTAATAGGCAAGGCAAAAAGATTAGGTTTACATCTAAGAGTAGTCAGGCTGGTATTGTCAGTTATGACTGTAACCTTATTGTGTTTTCGTCACTAACTTCAAATTTACTATGATACTAAATAGTAAGAATGAGCATATTTTCCCTATTTTTGTATGATCATAAACCTCCCATATATGGAATAGAAAATTGAAATGCCCCCGCCTTCCAGCCAAACAAATTGGTGAAGCCTAGTAGGCCCTTCCGGAGAGGAAAAGGCCACATCGAAGCACGGCACAACTAGCGGAGCTAGAATAGCTGTTTTGCAACCAGTAGGAGTTTGCCCCGTAAGAAGTGACCCCGTACATTACATGCACCACGTTTGTCAGTTTTTTGTGGTTTTTCTATCCAAGAGTAATTGTGCTGTGTTTCTTTGTGGAGTTCGTAGTCGGTTTGAGGGTAACGGTCGAGTGGGTGATTAGCCCGATCTCTACTACCCGGGTTACCACTCACGTTAGTTCTTCGGTCATCCGTCCCACTATCCAGGAGGCATGACGCAGACGTGTGAGCCGGATTCTGCCTTCCAAAATTGAAATGACAGAAATGTAAAGTAATTGATAGTCTCGTTATTAAATACAATATTTATGAGATGTGATGTATGTTTATGTATTTACTTTAGAAAAACAATTGAATTCGCAGAAAACGAGTACGTGATTTAAAAATAAATATACAATTTACGCATAATACAGTTGTTATTATTCTTTGATATTACGAACCAATCAAGATTAGACAATTATTGAAAAATTGAAGGCATCTTTCTGATAACCCAAAATCAACAACAATCGTAATCACAGAGGATTGAACAGTTATCTCTCCGTAGTGTGAGACTCCTCTTTAGTATGCATCTTCGACTCAAACCAATGATCTTAAGTCCAGTACTTCCTAAATGTCATCAGTTTTCAGACTAAGAGATCAGTACTTGACATAAACTATAAAAATTCATCAATCTCCATAAAGCATATATACTAATACTAATCCTGTGCTCGTTAGTGATTAACTTTAAAATGTAGTTCCAGTGAAAGATCGTGATCAATACAATTCAATCAGGTCGAGTGTGAGATGGTCACCCACTACAGACAATGAACATTCATAGCGTAATACCATAAAATGATCATTTTTTTAAAACTATATCCAATCATCATCTACCGTCAGATATCAAAAGTAATAAGTGATTTCTTTTTCCTTTTAGAAATCTTCAAAAGCTTGCAGAACTTTTCGAGGAATTATTCAAACATTAAATGAATGTAAAACATTCTTTTTTAACGAAAATACCAGTTAAAGCGAAATTTTCTTAATACACTATCAATTCATTATTCAATAATTTGTTTTTGATAATGATAATAATAATTCACTTGATATTGTTTGGCTTGTATCTTCCCATTGAGGTTTAAGACTGCAATTGATCAGTCTGTTATCGGCATATGTGCATACTGTGCGCATGCCTCGATATTGCCTTAATTCACAAGCTTTTTGTAAGCAATGATGGATAGTGGCTAGCAGTGGAATCCAGGACGCGCTTTACGTCCTATTTGGAACTCGTCAGTTGGATGTACCTGCATCTCACAGAGTTGATGTTCGCTGTGGGACTCGAACCCAGTACCATTCGCTTCAAACGCCACTATCCATCATTGCTTACAAAAAGATAATAATAATGTTTCATAATATCTAAACTGTTGTTCTGCTTTATAACCAGTTGATTAACAATGAACTTGTCTCAATTATCTACATAGAAATAACCAATTAGCATCGTTTCGGCTAAAAGACAAAGTGAATAAGGCTACTATGTTTTTATAACTTATGCCACCGACTGTATTTACATAGAACATTTATGAAAGACCCCATTAAGCGAAACAGCTTCTTAGTTTTAGTATAGAGTTTTTCATCTGTAACCTTTCGCTGTTTTATTTTTATCCAGTAATATGAGATAAACTTAAGTGAACAGAGTTTTTTTAAAACTTAATTTATCACTGAAAAACTGGTCTGTTTTTATATATCACTTTGTTACACATTAATAGGGTAAGATAAAAGCGAAATTATTAAGAAGAAATTGCTCTTTATGATAAACATTCAAAATGTGATTCCAGTTCATTTGTATGATTAATAGAGATTGATTGAAGTTAAACATTAACACCGTTAGATACCGGCCGGATCAGTGGTCTAGAGGTTAAGCGTTCATGCGCGAGATCGATAGGTCCTCGGTTCGAATCTCGTGGGGGGGGGGCGGGATCGTGGATGCGCACTGTTGAATAGTTTCATACTAGGATAAAACGGCCGTTCAGTGCTCCATATTTTCCATGGTGGTCTAGCATCAACTGATTCATAGATTTAATCATTAAATTAATAAAGATAACTTTATCGACTTATCAGTATCATTTGGTATATAAATCAATAAATAGCGTCCCGATGCGTCATTATTTGTAATACTGAACGATACATATTCAAGTCTAAGCAAGGAGTGTTTCATTACCAGAATTTACGACAGTTGTCTTACATAATAAGCCTAAGTTAAATAAGGTAACCGATACTCACGAATGTCGTGCAGTTGTTTCTCTTAAAACCAGTTAGATTGACCATTTACTAGTTTTGCACGACCAGTGTATATATTGTCTTTCTCGAGTTTCTCAATATTGGAAATGGCTTATATTGTATCTTTCCGACGTTCTGTAATAGTTTCAGAATAGGACGACATTTGATAGTGAATTTTTTGACCAGTCAGTAACTGGTTCACACTCAACATAGTTGATATCTAATGATAACGGTTTCTCACTAGAACATCTAGAATTACCTCTCAAAATCAGCACATGATCATTATCAGTGATGGAAACTATATAATTCAATAATCTCCACAAACGTTTTACACTCACAACTGATTCCTTGTCCATTTATCTTAATTTATATTTTAACTCATGTACCATCATCAAGATCTATCTGGTCACAAAACGTAACGCCAATAACAATTACAATGAAAGACTATGAAACTATCGTTGTAATGAAGATAAGAGATTCATGAATGAATGCTCTATAAGGTATAATTTAAATTAAATACAAACAAGACAGAGTTTTATAGTCAAATTAATTGTCCTAGAATTTTGGAATATTACCATTTTTCATTAAACAGTAAAAGGAGAGCAGAAATCTGGAAGCATTAGACGGCCGTTCCGTCCTGATGTAGGACTCCTCAGCAGCGTACATTAACGACCCCTAACACTGGAATCGTGGAGGACAAATTATTTCATTTGACCATTTCTATATGCGTTTATTAATTTACCGGTTCATGTGAAGCCAGATATATAAACCGTTCAACGTTTATTTTACCTACAAGTATTCGAGAACATTACATCACTTCGCTGAAATTGCTTAATAAGAAGTCCAATAATCGAAAAACTTGTAAGCACAGGTCATTCGATCAAAGCGGAATCAATGTTCAATGTCATCTACAAGGTGTGTAGAAAGCTGCCAAAGGTAGTTATATTCTGTTTTCTTACTATTGCTGAAGCAATAGATATACATCTGGAATTATGTATCCAAAGGAAACTGATACAACCTCTGCCTCTACCGTGGTCTTAATCTCTCGTAATTTTCTCCCTTCACAGCTATTTGCTTCCCTTCTATCTTCTCTATAGACCTTTTGCACCCAACTGATTTGTTTTTGTTTCTATGATCTTCCTGATTACAGTTTATTTGAATTTCGAAATTTTATCTTATCACGCCGGGCCTTCCCCTATCAAGTATAAGTTCCTTATTTATCATCATAATGTAAATGTATCCGCGCCTCTGCAAATTACTTCCAGCCATGCCACAAAAGGTCTCTAACCACTGGTTAAAATAATCACGTGGAATTCCTATGGTACTACTTCATTACTCTATCATCTTGCCCGAAAAGATAGAATTTGTATGTTACTTTTGATGGATTAAAACATCTAATATCCAAGGAATCCAACGATATAGTAACACAGAAAACCATAGTTTCCCCCATTAGCATGATGTCTACAATAATGAGAGTATCTTATGCATTGACTAGTTTCAAGACAGATACAGTTTGAATATTCTACAATGAATGCGGTCAACTGTCACTTTCTGTTTCAACATAAATATTGTAGATCAGTGAGTGTAGTTGGGTTTTCGGACATGAACCAATATCCTATGTTTAAGATCAAGGAAAAAACGATCTGACTTCAATATAAGTCGTATTTATACACAATCTACAAGAGTTCAAATCAGACTATTGTGTTTGAAATCTAGACTAAATCGTTCATTACATAACTTTACCCGTCAAAATGCAGTTAACTACTTTTTTTCATGTTTCATATCCTAATCTATTCAGACCTAAAATAAACACGAATTAAACCTTCAGTAACGACCAGGTCAATAAGACACATTAATGAGCATATTAAGTCTGAATTTTCATATAACAGACAGACTTTGATGGGATAACCATTGGGGATCTATCGTCCCCAACAATTTCTAACTTCAATCAACTCATAATATTTTCTGAGCATCATTCATTGAAATTAGTGACATGCTGTCTTACATACAACACAGTTAAACTCCACTGTTTACAACTCCTCATAAGAACTTCAAGAATTATTTCTCTATGTTCGTCATCAGTAAACACAAAATGATTGTTATTAGATGGTGACAGCAATGTAAACAAAAATACTAACCTGCATTATCACCGTTATATTTCACATGAAAAAATGATAACCAGAACATCAACCATACTGACGAAAATAGTAAAACAACAAAACGGATATATGTTTATTAGATTCTGTTAAGAATATTGTGGGGACGAAGCTTCTTCATTCATGAAATCCTTGTGAACCAATCACAAAACATAAAGTATTACTACTCTATGAAGATTTACATTTTAATATTCTTTCCATTATTTCTTGAATTATCTCATCACGATTTGATAAATCAATCTGAAAGTAAGAAAAAAATGCTTCTTTTCTTTTTGGCAGTAGAAGTGTGTTCTATTGATACAAAATCAATAATATAACAGAAGAAAAGAAATTTAATTATATTGTATTTTATAGGTGAGGCTATAATTTATGGATGACCTTTGAGAGACGCTGAAGCGACCTTGAGAGTAGACAACTACTGATTAAGTTTTTGATTGAGATGATGAACCGATTGATGTTAGACCACCATTGAAAACCTGGAAGCACTGGACGGTCGTTCCGTCCTATTGTGGACTCTTCAGCAGTACGCATCCACGATCCTGCTCGCGGGATTCGAACCCAGGGCCTTCAGTCTCGCGCGCGAACGCTTAACCTACTGGACCACTGAGCCGGTATCCAATAGTGTTAATATCTAACCTCAACCAATCCACGAAATTGCTCGACCATCTTCCATTGTACTGAGGTAGACACCTGTTTCTACCCGACACAAATTAGCTCCACTGGTCACGGCTTCTCACCAGAACTCCGAGAATTTCCTCACGAAGCTAGTCACTAGTGAGTACATGGTAATTATCAGTTTAGGGGTTGTGGAGATTGTTAGGTTTTTGATTGAGATCATGAACCGATTGATGTTAGACTAAATGAGGGTTATAAAGCAGCTAGAATTCTCATTTACAGTTGATGGTTAAGGTTAGGAATTAGATTTAGGGTTTTCATCATGAACTGATATCAGCTATAATGCAAAAATTCAGGACTCGTTACCTTATATCTAATTGGTTGGTCAATAAATTAAAGTCTCGCCGTTAAATATATACGATTTGTAGTGTCGGTTACTATATTAAGCCTATATATAAATTATTCTAGCTTCTTGGACAGGCTAATTTATTCATTCTTCTTTAGTCACGTTTTAACCTTACTAATTATTCACCTATCAACCGTGACTGTTTATTATATGAGCGTATATATGTGTGTGTACACTTCATGTTCTATTCATCATGTATGCAGCTTATTTTTGTGTGACTATAAATATCGATTAACGCTTGCTTAAATGGAGTTGGCTTAAACGCCTTCGCTGAATGTCGTTTCGTTTCGTTTCACTCTCTTTTCTTTGCTTCACTCCTCTGAATGTCAGTCCAGATTAGTGAGTGTACAAAATATACGTTTTCAAATATCCATTCTCGTGTTTGACTGACTTATTTAATTCCGTTATTCACTAACCCGGATTAAGTTGATAATTATTAACGAGGTTAGGCGATATATATATTATTATTTACAAATATTTATATGATATAACTGGAGTCAAATTCCGGGCCTGATATAGAGTCGGATGCAGACGCTTCCTCTATATGCGTGCTCAATCAGCTACTTCAGTGAGAAAATCAATAGTTTATATCTGCTTCAACAGTAAGTTAAACTAAATCATCGCCAATAATATGTGCCTGATGGCATTCTTTTATTTACTATTTGGTCTATTTCATAGATCAAAAGCATGAAAAACCTACATCACCTATTCGCTTATTTGTTAAGTAACATCTAATCATTTCCTTGAAAGAAAACTCTAATCTACTGGTTAGCCTTCCAATTTCTTGATATCCGTCCATTGGAATCTGTTCGTCAATAGTTCCGTCTTATAACCAGTTACTAATTAGCCACACATTGTATCGTTAGGGATCATTTATTGATCACATAAATAACTCAAATCGTTTGTCAGACTACAAGACTAATCGAAATAAAAGATCATATAAAACTCGATTCAATTTAATTTAATTAACTAAGAATTGATGCAAATGTCAGTCAGCCAGCTACAACGTAGGACCAGGCATATATATGCATCGGTCCAGGTTGCCATACCGCATCAGCACAACAAGATGAACACCGGATTCATAGCAGTGGTTAGGTCAAAGGTGGTAATATATAAGAGAAAGATTGCATATAAGGATACAGTACAGGAAGAAAGAATTAGTTCGTAGAAAGAAAGATATGAAGCGATTTTAATCTCACAGTTTAAGGGAAGACAGAGAGTGTATACACCGACGCCATTGTGATCGATTCTGAGCCATGTCACCAAGAGTCTCCAACCATCGGTTACGAAAGTCACGCGGACCTCAACCAAGTAGTCTGCATCTACCAACATGACTCAGACTAGAGGTTAGTGTCTTCAAGCACTGATGCCACGTTTTGGTTTGGCCGCCCCTAACTTTCTTCCAACCATCTCTAACACCCGTTAGCATTCCACGACGTGGTAATCGGTGTTCAGGCATACGTAACACGTGACCTAACCATCTCAGTCGATAAAGATTAACAACCTCATCAACTGACTTACCATCATTCCCTAATACCCTGCATCTAACCTCACTATTACTTACCCGGTGATCCCAACAGACGCCAGCAATATTTCTAAAGCATCTGTGGTCAAATACTAGTAGCTTACGGGTGTTTTCTACTCTTAAAGGCCATGTTTCGCTGCCGTAAAGTAAAACAAATGTAAAGCAAATGTATGACGTTAGTACTTTGTCATTTGTCTTTTCTTCTTTTGAACAGGACAAAATACGACAAATCGGGTTGAATAGAAGAAATCAAGATCAGAAGTACGTGTAACTGGACTCGTAGTGCAATTTTCTTTCTTATTTCTTTTTGTGATTTAACTCGACTTTTGACGATTTTTTGATTAATAATTTGTCATTAAAGTTTTTAAATGGTAGGAAAAAGAAACCGATCAATGTTAGAATAACATTGAAAACCTGAAAGCATTGGATAGCCGCTTCATCCTAGCATAGGACTCCTCAGCAGTCCACGACTCCGCATGCAGGAATGGAACACAGGACCTTCGGTCTCATGCGCGAACGCTTGGCTTCTTGACCACTGAGCCGGCGCATTCAGCAGTGTTAATATCTAACTTCAATCAATCTATAATCTTGCCCAAACCTTCATCGATCGCCTGAGGTAGACGACTCCCACACCCGACACGGATAGAACTCCACTGGTCATGGCTTCTCACCAGAACTCTGGGAATTACCTCGAGAAGCTGGTCACTAGAGAGCACATGATAATTATAAGTATAAGGCGACCAGTGGAAATGAACCGTATCGAGTGTGGATTGGTCAAAATCGGACATTGACGTAGTTGGATCCCGGCGGTCTAGAAGTTAAGCATTAGTGCGCGAGACCGAAGGTTCTGGGTTCGAGTCCCGCGTGCGGAGTCGTCGATGCGTGCTGCTGAGTAGTCCCATGCTAGGACGAAACGACCATTCAGTGCTTCCAGATCCCCAGTGGTAGTCTAACATTGATCGATTCATAATCTCCATGAAATCTCAACAATCTCTACAACCCTATGCTGACAAAACTGATTCTTTTTTAAAACTAATGAAATTTACCACACAGGTGAATTACAGTGTAGAAATTTACGAGTAGAGTTCGATAAAAAAAACCTATAACATAATTCTACCATCTATAAATCTGTCGGCACAGCAAGTGTGGTAAGTATATATAAACCGTGAAAATAATACCATGGCGTATATGTCAAAATACCTAGTAAGTTATTTATGGACTTCAATCATGGTGTAATTAACAAAGTCTTGGGTAAGGTAAATTAATTTATTTTATTATGCAAAATCACATAATGCATCTGTAAAGTCTGAAAACAATACAGTGAATACAACAATTGCACAACTTCCTTAAATTGTCGCTTTCAAACTCCATCGTACTTCCATTTCTGTTGCTAGTCCGACCGCTTTTGATTTTCTTTCTCATCTCCTCGTTTCCCTCTTCTATCAGTAAGAATCCTATTTCCAATTACCGATACATAGTACTAATATCTGCCGGTATAAGTAGGATATACCACAATGGTTATCAAGAAAAAATATCAATTTAAGTTGTTTTTACCTCTTAGTTGCAACTATACAATCAAAAGTTCCATGTCAAGTGCATTGAAACCATAAATATATACGTATGTTATTTAAACAGTATTTCTAACTTACCTCTATTATCGAAGCCTCCTTCATTGAACAGATATGATCGACCATCGGAATACCACGTGTACCATCTTGTCTTTTCGGTGATGGTACAGTAGCCAAAAGAACAACTGTAGGATGTTTTATATCACGTTGACTATTTGTAGGTAAATTCGAAATTGATGAAATCAACTTTTCAATTAGATAAGTGAACTTTGATGAGCATAGCTCCATTTTACCAATCTCGTCAATGATACAGACTATTAAATCATTTTTTCTTACATTGTTAATGGAAGAAACGTTTTCCAAATCGTTTATAATAGACTGTTGATTATTATCATTTCCAATAAGGAACATAGATCAAAAGAAAAGAGGAAACTTTGAGTCTTTTTCATTAGATAAAATACTAATTGTCTATTTATATTACATAATTTAAAATCACCTCGTTACAATGACCATCATGAATTACCTCAATGAAATTAGCTGACCTGTAAACAAGGAATAGCCAAACTCTCAAACGATGATATATTTACTAGGTACTGACCAACACGAGGTTGACGTTGTACTTGTTGACTTGAATGGTTAATTAGACGAGCTAATGAAGCTCTAGGATATGTTCGAGATGAATCGAATAGAACTACATCAAATCCAAAACGAGTAGACTTTCCTGAATAGAACTGTCGAACTTCTTCTGTCTTAAAGCCAACTGCCTGTATACCATTTTTAAGAAGCTCTTCAAAAACATGAGAAACCAAAGTGGTTTTACCGATACCTGTCAAAAGATACAAATTTACTTACAACCAAATACCTGTAAATAGAATAGGAAAATAAATATTCACATAACGCTGAATGAAAGTAACATGTTAAGATATAGAAAAAAGTGTCACAATATTTGAGTAATGTTCGGTACCCAATACAACTAAAGCATCAATAAATGACAGTTATCAATAATAATAAGTAGGAATTATTTACAATTATCAACAGTAAAAGACGACATGGAGTTTCTGTGAGAAACGATATCTCAAATATATAGAAAAATTTAGCTCGAAAAATTTCATTATTTTACGAAGACACAAAAGAACATAACAGTATTCGATAATTTGTATTATTCCAAACTAACCCATTCCTTCAGGAATACATTTCTTGGTCACTGGTAAGAGTGTGGAGTAATTATTTATTTCCTTGTGTATCCTAGTTTCTCTACATTCAATGTGTAAATCAACTTAAGTTTGAGGTTAAGAGTATGTATCGGTGAATAATGCCACCCCCAAACCAAGTAGTGTAATAGGAACTTAATACTCGTTCTCAAACTTATGATTTGTGCTGAACCAAATTGACATCACGAAGGCGCCAAAGATGGCTCAGATTGGTATAAGCCGCTCTGGCTTTCACTATACATGCATTGATCTCATCACTCACACCCCCACCAGCACTTATGCTGCTACCTAGATACACGAACTTCTCGACTACTTCTATTTGTTCACTACCCAGGGTGAGTACAGTATTAGAATCCTGCCAGTCTTGTAGAAGTACTTTGAACTTCGAAGGTGCAAAGCATATACCGTACCTACAGACATTGATTGCCAACTGATTAAGTGCGGATTGCATGCCTTGGGCATTATCGCACAGTAAAACTGTATCATCCGCATGCTCAAGATTGAGAAGTCTTTCTCCAGGCAACAGATCCACACCTCCATTACTTACATCCATCAGAGCTGCTTCCAGAATGTCATCGATGGCAAAGTTGAGGAGGAATGGTGAGATTGGGCAACCCTGAATAACCCTACTGCTTGAATGGAGACAGGTGGTTGTATGCCCTCATTTCACCCGAGATGTTAATAAACTTCTCAGGCACACCCTTCTTCAATAGACAATCCCAGAGAACAGTCCTGTCCAACGAATCGAAGGCAGCCCTGATGTCAAGAAACACTACGATTGTTGGTCTTTGATAAGTATGGCGGTGTTCTAACATTTGGTGGAGGGTAAAGATATGATCAATACATCCACGACCAGAACGAAAACCAGCCTGCTCCTCGCAAGTCAATCTTTCTCGGGTTTTGAACAACCCACGAAGTATGACGGAAGCCAATAGCTTGGATGCAATCGGAAGTAGACTTATCCCCAAATAGTTGTTACAGGAATGACGTGGACCCTTTTTAAAGATAGTCAGTCAGCTACAACGTAGGACCAGGCACATAAGTGCATCGGTCCAGGTTGCCATACCTCATTAGCACAGCAAGATGAACACCGGGACAACTATCGACTTATTCCATGACGTTGGTACACTCTCTGGTTCCCAGACCTTTGTAACAATACAGTCAGTTCTTTAGCCAGAAAGTCACCACCATCTTTAAAAAGGACCGGAGGTAAGTCACCTGGGCCCGGTGATTTGTAGCGCTTCAAGAGTTGCCGGAGCAGCAGGCCAGTTGAACTGCCCTTTGAAGAATTCTGCCCACCGTCCAAGACGTCGATGGATGTTGGTGATTGGCATCCCGTCATCCTCACAGATAGTTTCGCTCACACCAGACTTCTTGCTGCCAGTGGCTCGGATGAGTTGGAAGAGCTTCCGATAATTACCAGATACAGCTGCTGCTTCCAGCTCATTAGCACACTCCGACCACCAGGCCTCTCGGTCCTCACGAAAGCTTTGCCCGATTTCATTACGTAACAGCCTTCGTTTCTGGTCAAATGCACGGTGACCCGGAGTAGACCGACGGGCTTCAATGAGTTGTAAGGAGCCTAAAGAAACCCAGTGCTTATAAGCGGGACGTTTCGCGAACCTACAACTGACTGTGCCCGCCATTTTCATGGCGTCATACAATTGCAACCAATGCTCATCTATACTTGTCAGTGGAATGGTAGCTAGCCTAGAAACTAGCTCGGTTAGATACTTACTTGCAACAGTTGCAACCAATTCGCTGACATCAATCCTTTGGTAGCGGTCACTTGGTTGGCCACTGAAAAGTAAGGTGAGATTGGCGCAGACCAGAGCATGATCAGAGTCCAGATAGGTACTCCAAAAGGAGCGGCAGTTTTGTACACAACCACGTCAGCGTTAGCTCATCGCGATGTGATCAATCTGAGTCCAGGCTTGAGATGCAGAAGGAGGACACCAGGTGGCACATCGGCGATGACTGTGCCGAAAGTTAGTGCTAGCCAGAAACAGGTTGTGGTCTGTGCACAGTTGTAGTAGACGATCCCCATTATCTGTCCTGCGACCAACAACTCCCTATCGGCCACCTAAACGATTCTCTTCTGTGCCCATACGCTCGACCTGAGCACTCAAGTCTCCGGTTAGTACTACGATATCTGTCGAACGCACTTCCTGGAGAACAGTTAAGTGGTGGCAGAATTCATCTTTGACTGCATCCGGGCTGCAATCTGTCGGGGCATAGGCGGAGATGACAAAAAGACATCGTTTCTCACGACGACTACTACCAATCACAGAAGAAAATGATTGAAGCATCAGTACATCAACCTGTATTTAGAAGCCGCGTTTTCAAAATAAACTATACTTCTCACCCATAAGTTTTAAGTAAAAAAAAGGAACCTTCACATATCTAAAACAAACACTGATCATTTATTATATGTCTATATTAATTAGATAAATATGTTATATAAAGACAGAATTTCAAATACATGAAGCCTATTAAAGCAATTAACACACACCTGGCCTTCCTGTAACTAGCAAAATATTAGACGTTGACATAGTGTGAGGGGTACCTGTTGAAGTTGAATAAATTCAAGCCTCCACACACTGGAAATAATTGTTTTTGGTTTAACTTGCACGTAACAGGTATCTCGTAAACTGGAAAATAAGAAGGCCATTACAGTAACCACAAAAATGTGTAATATAACTCCAATAGTGTATAAACAAATAGATAAATTCCAAACCGAGTAAAAATAATCAACGTTATAAAAATCCCACATAGATCAAGGTCTTATACAAACCGTATAAGAAAATCTAAGGCTATATTGATACACTATATAAAAATGAACAAATTCAGTTAATTCTATCGTAAGAAGACGTACTACTTCATGTGTGAGCTTATCACGATAGCCTAAACTAATCATATTTGAAGCTGATAAAAAGAAAAAGCTTGAACAAAATGACACTAACAGATTTCGCCAGAACAAAAAGAGGAAATAAAACAGTTTAACCCCACTTCTTTCATCAAGTTACTTTTTCCTCTTTTTTGAGCAACAGGGGAGTTGTCACGTAACTAGCATTTTTACACTAAAGTCATAAAACAGTGACAACTTTTAGGGAATTAATTTGTTCAAAAAATTTCTCTACAACCATAAAATGAATTTAACATAGTGCGTAAGCCAAAGCGCAAGATGTATGTGCTCGTGGTGCAGATTGTACGACATCGTAAAAGCCAGTAACAACTGTCAATACTACTGCCTGCTTTTAGTGTTTCTCTTATAGAGAAAGAGTGGAAGTATTAACAGGTGGTAAGATTGTGTAGCCTTTTTATTGTATTTTCTGTGATATCAACAGAAATACTCCTTGATTATTGGTATTTTAAACGGTCATTTATCTATTCGGTTTCGAGCCCCAGAACGGACTCTTCTAGCTACGGCAGATACTGAAAGTTATAATAACTCTAGCTTAGATGGTAGAGCACATAACGTTGTTTTGTATTGACTTCGGGGTTTTGTTGTCTTTGCCGCTAGCGACGCAACGCTAGATCGTGTCGGAACATATTTTACATAATTGGTAGATTTTATGTAAGGGGTATGACTATGTGTCAAGTCCAAAATCTTATCAGACATTCCGGTCAGATTCGTCAAGTCTAAAAGCTGGTTAGCAACCTAAAAGATTTGCAAGCATTGCATCCATATCTTTTTTTTTAAAGTCATCGATTTTGCAAAATCCAACTAATTACTTCATCTGTCACAATAACTTGACCCGTTCCCTAGCTCTCACTGGTTCAGTGGATGTAGTTGTTTCCCATCTGATAAAGGTTTGTTGAATAATCTTTAACCTATTATAGGCTTTCGCACTGCGAGACTGTTTATGAAATTAGACACCTCTGCTGCAACTTATGTTAGTAGAATTTCCAACAAATATATATTTTGAGGCCTGTGAGCGTATGTTGGGATGAAGAAATTGAACTTCAATTCATATACACAGGTTTCGTGTACTCAGTAGTGGTAAGTTCATCGAACTTAACTTAGTTAATCGATTCCTTGGTCTCAGTGTTTATAAGTTTGATAAATATACTCCGTTCCAAGAAAGTGCATGATCAAGTGAGCAAAAAATGTACCAAAGAAAAAACATGTCAAACGATCAGAATGTGAACTCAAATATATATATATATATATATATATATATATATACCACAAGAATAGATAAACATGATGACCACAATCGTTAGTATCACAGAAAATATGCCGACAAAACCAGAAATTATGTCACGTACCGCAAATTTTTTGAGTCGTTTTTCCTGTCGGAAAACGTATCGATCAGACAGTAATGGCGACTGCTGGAACTAGAGTTGGGCTCCTAGTCGCCTCGTTCATATTCTGGACAACACTTCCGGCTAAAAAATTCCTAGTAGACACTAGAGTCGAAGTTAGTGCGATCCCAGTTACCTTAGCCAGGCAACCGATTGCCAAAACTGAAGAACTCTTTGAGTGCAACTAGTAAAACCGAGATAAAGATGTTTGAAAAACAACTGCCGACATTAAACAGATTTCTTTAAGAGATGCGTAATCAACTTTTTAAGAACTAATCAGTCCCATAACTCACATCCATTTATTAGTCATTGCAGCAGTTTATCATTCGACGAGGAAATTTACTGGATAATCATTTACTCTAACTGATCTTATGCATCAGAAAAGGGCACATTGTCTATCAGGTCTAAGAGCGCTGCTGCGAATTCTGTGAGCGGACGTATTCACGATGTAACAATGAACAATGTTATTATTAATATACGAGAAATAAATGTTAACACTATAAACCGAACTGACTACATATATACATATATATATATACATATATATATACATACATACATATATGTAGTCAGGGCACGGTTAAAACGTTAGAGCCGTTCGAATCTGCCCACCCTTTCGGTTCAACGACCTTGAACGGCCTGAGCAGAGGTAGTCATTCCGTATTTCAATTGTCGTGGGTTAGTTGGATTGCATGAGTATCAAGTTTTTTTCATATATAAGTCATCTTATGTTGCATTAAAAAGCACAAAATAACTGCCCAAAGTATTGATTTAGCATTCTGTTTTGTAGTGTACACGTTGGCGCTGTTGCTGCTTCGTAACTTGATCTGTGATCCCAACAACTGTAGTAAACCTCAACGAAATGTCAAGTCACCGGTAAATCCTAAGTATTTGTAGTATTTCCTTGGGTTGTTATTGTTGCAAGGAATAACATTTTTATAATTAATGATCTCCGTTTGTAGTGCTTCATGCTCAAGTGACATTTCAGTGGACCTTAGCGATGGTTGTGAACAAGCGTTTCGCATGCTGGGATGATTTTGATAGAGCGCTAAAAGAGTTCCAATAAGTATGGATGAATAATTTTATCCCTTCTCAGACTACTTATACTCGTTACATCCACACGGAAAGCAAGTTGCTGAAGGATGTCAAGTTCAAATACCTGTTTGTAACGTTTCACTGTGCATTTGGTCATCAGCGGAAATCGAAAGTTTTGAAATTGAAGTAAAAACCGTGAGGACTTTAACTAATATCTGACGTTTAAGGCCTAAATTCCGTAATTGCTAATCAAAGTTCCGTGTAAGACTAGAGGAGCAAGGATACGTTGTAACAGTTCAGGTTGGTTGGTTAAGAGTTGACCCCAAACAACCAAGCTTATGCCAAAACAGTATTGTTCAAGTATTCATTCACTTCCTTATTTTTTATAAGCGTTATATTCCCTATTATCTTGAATGTTGAGAGCCTTTGTTTGTCTGAACAGGTAATCCCACGCTCCACTGTGACTGCGCGAAGATCGAAATAAAGACCTATTCACTACTTGTCTGGTTTCTTCTATCAAAAGCACGAGGGTTACTTCAAGGCACGAAATTGGTGAGCCCTTTTTGAACACAAATTTAACCTCATTTCTGTTATTAACATTTTTTTTACTTAATCGTAAAAGTAGACCTGATTATCCGTAAACTAATTTGAGTATATAACTAGTTTATTCCGTATTATCATAAGTTATTCGTGTTACAGTAACCACTTTTTGTGCTAACTTTATTGCTATATTTGTCACATACCTCATGTCAGACTCAATAGAAACCCATAATCTGGAGGATTTGTCACCATTGGAGATAGACACTGTTATGACTACGAAATCCCGACTTCCAGAATTTGATCGTAGTGATCCTGAGTTGTGGTTTGCTCAACTAGAGCATTATTTCACGAGACACAATATCAAATCTGAAGGGATTCGCTATAGAGACTTGTGTTCTATCCTTCCTCCTTCAGTCGCCAAAGAAGTCCGTGACTTGATTTTAGATCCACCATCACCACAACCATACACCATCTTAAGACGAGAGATAATGAACCGTTTATCATTATCAGATAGTCAAAGAATCCAAAGACCTTTTCAAGGTGAAACACTAGGTGATCGGTCGCCGTCACAGTTTTTACGTCACCTCCAAGTCTTAGTGGGTGATAACACAGTGGGTGAAGCAGTCCTAAAACAAGGATGGATACAAGCTCTCCCATGCTACGTCCAACACTGTTTGGATGCACAGGATCCTGAAACCTCATTATCTCATTTAGCGCGTATAGCCGACAGAATAATGGAAAGAGGTCCTCCAACTGGATCAGGCACAATAAGTCACACACAAAAAGTAGAATCAGCAAAAGACCTCGTAATAGAAGGACTCATTGCGAGTGTTAAGAGTCTCACTGAGGCTGTCACCAGAATGCAAATGGGTCATAGAAACAGGAGCAGGTCACCACAACGACCACAATCCAAGTCACAAAACAGGTCACAAATGTCCAGACAATCTGGGCAGTTTTGTTGGTACCACTGGAAGTTTGGTGTCAACTCAACCAAGTGCATGCAACCATGCGCCTGGCCTAAGCATAATTCTGAGACAGCGGGAAACGAGTAACCCCTCCCCAGGTCACGACGACTGAGGAGGGGCGCCTAAACAGTCGCTTGTTTTATGTTAGAGACAGAAACTCTGGCTTGAATTTCTTGGTGGATACTGGCGCTGCTCTTAGCATCATCCCTCAACATAAAACTGAGATTAGTCGAGAAACATCATCAATTACACTTCAAGCTGCAAATAAAACTAAAATCGCGACATTTGGGCAGAAAACATTAACCCTAGATTTGGGGTTCAGGAGGCAATTCCCTTGGGTTTTCACGGTAGCCCACTTAGATCTGGCAATACTGGGGATGGACTTTCTAGAGAGATACGAATTTCTAGTTGACACCAAGAAACGGCGATTAGCACTAAAAGAAACTTCGTATTACACAAAAGGCAAAGGAAGTCACATCAGCTCTCTTAACTTGATTCAAACTCCCCCAGTAACAACAGCGAAATTCCAAGATATACTCGCGGAATTTCCAAACTTAACTGAACCAAACCCACAGCCTTCTAAAGACAAACTAAAAGTGAGTCACACTATCAAAACCGAAGGTGCACCGGTGTTTGCAAAACCCAGGAGAGTAACACCAGATAAGCTCAAAATCGCTAGGGCCGAGTTTGATTATATGCTACAACTGGGTATTATCCGTCCCTCTGATAGTCAATGGGCATCCCCTTTGCATATGGTCCCAAAGAAGAATGAAGGTGACTGGCGACCGTGCGGGGATTACAGAGCCCTAAACCGTCAAACCGTACCAGATAGGTACCCAATACCTCATATCCAAGATTTCACCAACGGTTTACAGGGTATGAACATATTCACTAAAGTTGACTTAGTCAGGGCATATCACAATATCCCGGTGGCTGATGAAGATATTCCCAAGACAGCTATTACTACACCCTTTGGCTTATTAGAGTTTGTACGCATGCCATTCGGCCTGAGAAACGCGGCACTTCCTCAGATATTCTTATTCCACATTCTCACACTCTTTCTCTTGAAAGCACACAGTAAACCGTCAGCGATAGTTGTAGAATAGATCACATGCTACAAAATAAGATGACAAGCTAGTAAATGAGGAGACATCCATGGACTATCGTTGACAGCGTTAGTCGTCACTGATTGTAAGTCAAATAGTGAGCGAGTTGATAATTTTCCCTTGGGATGAGAAATAGAACTAAGGTGTTTTCGATAGATAGGTTTTCGAACCGACGTTCCTACGGAAGTCGATTCTAGGGGGAAGCTAATGTAACAGCTCAGGTTGGTTGGTTAAGAGTTGACCCCAAACAACCAAGCTTATGCCAAAACAGTATTGTTCAAGTATTCATTCACTTCCTTATTTTTTATATGCGTTATATTCCCTATTATCTTGAATGTTGAGAGCCTTTGTTTGTCTGAACAGATAATCCCACGCTCCACTGTGACTGCGCGAAGATCGAAATAAAGACCTATTCACTACTTGTCTGGTTTCTTCTATCAATAGCACGAGGGTTACTTCAAGGCACGAAAACGTCATCAAATCCTACAACATGCTCCACAATCATCCTTGTAGTAGTTCATGGATGGTTTGTGATCCATGGACAAGAAGATTGTCATCCGAAGAAAAAGAAAACTTGAAGCCAGTAACATTTCGCTGTCAGTCATTAGATGATGTTATAGGAAGTATTAAGGAGAGAACTGGTAAGTAGGTAACTGCTGCCGATGTCAAAGCTATGAAAGGTGAACTCTCCACTGGTAAGTGTATAGAAATATATTTCAGGTTGCACTCGAAAGCAGGTACTGCATATGCTGCGATAAAAAGGTGAAGTGAAGGAACATTTAGAAAATGAATATGTAACGAGAATATGTTTCAGTGGTTATGACCAAATACACTTGTATAATAAATATCCGGAAGTTCTGTGTATTGATTCTACGTATGATACTAATAATAATAAGTGATTATGTTTTTCCTTGTATTCTACTTTGTAGATATCCATTATTCCAGTTGGTTGTAACAGATAATTTTGAACCAGGACGTACTGTAATGTTTGCGTGGACGCGAAAAGAAATGCGTGCAGATGTCATCTGGATTTTTGATAAATTCAAAGAAATCATGGGAAGCACAACAGGGACAGAAACATTTGTTATAGACTGCGCACGAGCAGAAAGCGCGGCTGTCCGTATCCTACACGGGCATGCAAACATCATTATGTGCACCTTTCACTTAATTCTCACTTTCCGTAAAAAGTACACCCCTGGTTGCTTAAATAAAATTGCCCTTAGACACATAACAAGATAATGAGAACGTACCTGACTCGATTGGTAGCTGCAGAAACGGTTGGAAGGTATTTTTAAATGTATTTATTCACCAGATTTAATCAATATTTCAGAATAATAAACCAGAGAGACAGACTGATAGGCCATTACCTATCTCGTTTTTGGATGTCAAGTAAAGCAATGTG